TAACGTCGGATGGAATGTAAATCAGAAATCGAAAAGAAGAAACGAAAACTTGAAAAGTAATTACCTATTGCAAGCAAATCAGTGCGCGTCAAAAAGCCAAATCAAGCCCTTTAGCTAACGAGAAAAAAAAAGCCGCTTTTGTTCTTGTATGGCGGTATTTACGTCAATAAAAAGTTATGGATTAAATTGTACTTTAGGCTTACGGTAAATCTTTCTTCTGCATTGTCAGTAATCTGACGAATTGATCAAAAATCTACAATGTTTAAAAATATATGTAGTGCTATAGGGATCTAAATCATATTAATTTTGTTTAATTGAAAAAAATGTGTTCTAAATCAAATAAATTTCAGTTTCATTATGTAAATTTGATTTTAATCAAATAGATCTGATGTAAGCCAATACATCCAAATTTATTTACCTTTTTGTCAAAAAAATATTTTGATTTCTTTTCTACTTGGCACCCTTTGCTTTTTATTATAAAACTACGAAACTACGGGGTTAAAGTAACTTCTCTGCCACTTTAACACTGATATTAATTCTTACTTTCCATGCATACGGAATGTTCTGAATAAGCGTCGAGTTGAGGAAAGAAACCTGACCAGGGGGTCTAAGTAGGACACTCGTCAAGAAATTCTGCGTGATCAACGACCGCCGCGAATGACCAGCGCTGCGATATGCATGCTGTAAAAATCAACATCAGTCAGCACCAGATGTCGCCATTCAACATGTTGGCCAGCCACAAAGTTATTGATCTGAGCAAAGTATTAGTCTGGGTAGATCCCTTGGCTTCGATCTGAACCCCACCACACTGCGCCCGAACGCAGGCACAAATTGGTCACGAGTGACAGAGAGAGAGAGAGAAAGTAAAAATCAATTTGTTTGCTCCAAGAGGTTGTCCTGGCATTTAATGTCTCGCCAATCCTCACCCAGCACGTTTTTGACATGCCCAACCAGCAGCGGCCAGAGGATTACTTTGATCCCGGCAGAGGGAGCGGCCCACTCTTCCCAGTGAGACCGGTTTATACTGATAGCGTTCGGCCAATTGGCGGGGTTTGTTCCACGCTAAAACCATCCGATTTCGCGATAACAAAAATGGCGTCACATCTTTTTCTTTATCTTCCAGAAATTACATAAAATTTTTGAGTCTGAGCCCTAAAATGATGGACCGAAGTAGTCATTCCCCGGTTGTCAGACTAGCTGCTGTGGTTGCCAGACTGTCAAAATCATTTTAAGAAGGCCAAATTCTTTAAGTGTACTTTTGTTGAGCGCGTTGGTGATCCAGTTAAATACAAAAAAAGATTATCGCATCTCCACGTGGTGAATGATGTTGATTGGGGCGAAGCTCTGGTGGTGCTGATGATACTGATTTTATTGTTCATAGTTAGTGCTGATGGTGCTGATTTTTTATTGCTCATAGGTAATGCTGAGTTCCGGGTTGCCGTTTCGATTTCATTATCACTTCTTTATGGTCGGTGAAATGCAGAGCCAGTGGTTCTTCTAGCGGATCAGCTTGGATCCGCTCGAAGCCGTGGGAACGTATCTCCACCGCTTAAGTCAACGGTCCATGTCAGAAAGAGAATGTGTTGTATGGAACGTGGTTATATACGCATTTGAGCATTTGACAGCAGCGCCCTCTAGTTTATAAACGTTGCGCCAATGCCTGCAAAGTTTAACGCGATTATATACGCATTTGACCGCAGCGCCCTCTCCTGTATAGACGTTGAGCGGCTACATGCAACGTTTCATCCATGACAGAAACCCCAGCTCTTGAGTTACGATCACATATCAGAGCCCCCTACTCGTCCCGCAGTCGTGGCCGAGTGGTTAAGGCGATGGACTAGAAATCCATTGGGGTCTCCCCGTACAGGTTCGAATCCTGTCGAATACGCATTCTTTTTTTAATTTTTATGTGAGCACGGACGCAGGACGGACGGACGGACAAGGCTAGACCCTAAGGAGCTTCGCCCCTAAAAGTGTAAGAGTCTTTGCTCCGAGCTCCCGTGCTTGATTGCCTGGAAGTGTTTGTAGAGTTGCTCGAGTTCTGGCAGCCATCTTAAGGCAGTCCCAGAACTTATGGGCATTACTGGGGTACTGGCTGCAGGTACTCCACTGCGGTGCGCCTTCTGTGCCGATAAGGTAATGCTTCAGGTGTTCAATCACGATGGTTATAGTCTGAACAATGAGCACTCTTGCTCATTTTTTTACTTGGACTCGGTGTTTCATGAATGTGTTGGCACCGAATTTGTGGGTGCAGTTGCTGTGCTGTTCTAGTAAACCACATTTCACTAAAAAAAAAAAAAAAGTGAAGAGAGTTAGATGTATTGTTATTTATTTACTTGTTAAGTAATACTGCAACCTCACAAGATGATTCTAGGAGATAGATATACAAAATAAATATAGCATAAATCTACAAAGAACGCAATCAAACAAAAAGTTTGCAAAAATATGTGAACGAGACACGCAATAAACATGTCTAGACATGGTTGTTCAACTGTCATGAGGAAGCCCGTACCGCTCCTCCATCGTTTGCAAGATATTTGAAACGGTTATTACTATATTTATATGGGACTATGAAAAATATGTCTGTCTTGTAGAATAGCCCTCAGACAACGTTATATACAAGTACCGGGTTAATTTTATAAAGGCCATAAATAATTTATCTTGGTGGTGTTGAACGAGAGTGCTGCCAAGTCCGCTGAGCCCGCCCAGGTTGTCCCACCGTCCAGGACCGACGGCAAATCCTATTCTCGAAACTAAAAGCGTGAAAACCGACGCGGCACCGGTGGCCATCACAATGCCTTCTTCACACCTCGCAGGTGGATGCGAAGTTCCTCAGGAATGTCGGTGCACCTGCAAGCCTCCTTTTCTCAAAAAGTCAGGGCGAGCCTTTTCTTGCGACGTACGTTCAGTCTCCCCCAGTTTGTCCAGCCACTCATTCAACTTTTCCGTGGATGTCGGGGGAACCCCTGTTTACTTTGGGAGGACCAGGGTGGACTAGGAATTCAAGAAAAAAGCGCGAGTTTTCCCCGAGAGCTATCTGAACCTTTTTCTGTTTTATCCATCTCTTGTTTCTTTTATTTTCGTCAACTTACGACCGTTTCTTTTGATTTAGATGATGCGAAATTGTGGGGCATATTCAGAAGGAACAGGCTAACCAGTTTCAGGAACGAGCTGGATGCTGCAAGTTATAAATATACGAGACCAGTGTCTCTGCGTTTGTCGGCTTTTCATGATTAATAAAAAACTGCACTAAAAAAAAAAAAGTAGAGGAAAGATATAGCAACGGCGCGTTTGCCTCTTCTACTGCCGCGCCCCAAGCAGATACGAGAAGGGAGGAACGAAGTTGTTCTCCTTCTCCAGGCAGACGGGAGGAAAGTTACTCCCTCTCACCTCATCTTTTGGTTTCGTTTTTCGAACACGTCGTTCACTTTTTTTTTTTTTTACATTATTGAGCCGATTGAGCGCCACCGACCACGAAGGCTGCCTGTAATGCAGTCTCCCAGTTCAAAGTAAGGTGGTTAGTTGGGCGAGTTGCTAATGATTGAACATGGTACGGAATTTTAGATGTTCCCAGTTCAAAACACGCAAAGAACTTCGGTTGCGTCGACACTTTTACCGCTAATTTTGCCAAACGAGCAAACGAAGCCTATAGAAACAGCGAAGTTCCAGAGCAATGCCAGCAATGCTACGTACACTGGGCTAAAATGGCCGTCTCCGCAACTTTACGTCCAAGTCGAACCGGTTTTCCTGCCAGGTGCCTGCGCGGCTCCTGCGCTACGTTTGGCTGCGTTTCCTTTTACCGAGTGCCATCGGACGATAGACGTGGTTTTGTGCTTCCGTGAGTCACCAGCATCGCCATGGCAGTGTTAATCGTGCGTTGTTAGCAAAGCCTGGAATCGTCGTCGGTGTCTCCGTGTGTTTTGCGTACCAGTGGTAGAACAGCGAGACGAGATTATGTGCACGGCCGCAGATTGACATTCTGCTTTCCATTAAAGGGTTTAATGAGACCCCTTGAGCGACTATGGTGCAATCGATCGACCTGCGGATAGTCATGTTGGAACGCTGATTTGAAAAGTAGCTCCTATCGTATAGTTACCAATGCAGTTGTCTGCAATTTCCTGCTGTCCCCTTCACGAGAGTGGTTGGGCTTTCGTGGAAGGGATGAGCATTCTTGAAAAAAAAAAGCTCAAAGAAAGCACGTGCGTTTATTTAGCTTGGGATATTAGCGTGTAAGGAAATCAGAACAAGCAACGTGGTGCTAGGTAAATTTGCTTTGTTGTAGCCGGATAGTTTAGTCGCACGTCCACTTGTAGCCGAGCCCACAACACCTGTCTGCTACCGTTCTAGCCTATCATTCTCGATTTTCGTACTCGGACCGATCCCGACCCTGCAACATGTTTTGAACTACGTCACGCTGTTCATCCCCTTTTTTGAAGCAAAACCACGTTCGTGACAATTATTTGCACTAAATTGAACCCCAGATTGTTGGATCGAGCTCGAAGCGCACTTTAATTGTTAATGTACATATTATAGCCGTTTCGTTGGTGCCATATTTATTAGTTCTTGCTGTACAAGGATAACCGTAAAAATGATGCACTGACCGTCGACGCTAAGGATAAACAGAAAGAACAATCTTTATAAAGCGAAACACATGCGCCGATGTGACCCTCAGTACGTGGTCACCGAGTTATGACGGGCAATCAATTTGCAGATTTGAACAAAGGTAAACCCTTTGTCCAAATTCTCACATGCGGACAGCCTCGGATTCTATGTCACACTGTATGACAGCACATGTGTAGCCAATCAGGATGCGAGTAAATATAAGGAACGGTGTTTAGAAGGAAAACTTTGGTGTATTGACGAAAACATTGGAATGCAGATTAAGAAGAACAAGGTAGTGCAAGCTCAGATTTATATCTTAAAATTTTTCATGAGGCTCTGCTGGATGGTAGAGCCAATAGCGGCAACCGTCAAGTGGTACCATGTTTGAACTGAGAAGGTAGTGATACCAAAAATACGTTTAATTTCTGTCGATGCTTTTTTATTTCTTTTTCTCATTAGGACTTTCATGCACTCCTACATGCGAAACCAAAACTCGCGTTACAAATTATTTTTTTTTTTCTATTAATATCCACAGTCTTTGTGCAACAGGGTAGCAATCATTCTTGTCTCAGTCAGTCACATTGCTGGGGATGTAACACGTTGCAAAACTTGTACAACGTCAACCTTTCTTCTGAACATGGAGAGCCTTACCACGAGCTTGCTGGTTTTCATTCATCGTCGGTGTTACCCTGGAAAGAAAAACAGAAATATATAAGTGCGATGGATATTTATTTATAAATTTATTAAAATAGTATCAAAGCAGGGTCATTATATAGCAGTTGCACCGTTTTACAGGGACTAGAAATTAATTGTTCCGAAACCTTAGTTCTTCTCTTGTATTTTATAGGCGTATGTTGCTTAGTAACACCCCGTTTTTTACTTCGTAATACCGTCTAGTTTCTGAGAAATTTTGCCATCTTTTTTTTTTTGTTGTTCTTGTTTTTGTCGTGGCGCTCGGCGGAACACTTAATATATTGAATTGTAAGGGACCAGTGCCTCGAGAGGCTTGACAGCCTCTTGCACTGACCGTTCATTCGGACACAGTATGGCAAAAAAACAAAACAATAAAAAAAGAATAAAGGGAACCCATTTCCTATGAATAGTTTAACCTTGACCTATATCTCCAGGTTAGAAGGTGCGCTTTATTTCTTCGTCGACCCTTTGTCATTTTCAGAGCGTTGTGCGGCGGTGGCAGACGCTCTCATCGCAGTGACAAACTCGTGAACTCAATTAGCTTCTTTGTTCGACGTAAAGCTCAAATTAACACGCTGTTGATTACCCTCGCATCATGTAGTACGTACCTTTGTTTTTGTCTGTGCCCCTAAAACCGCGTAAGCAAACTTAGAAATAAACGCGATTGAAATGCCAAGTTCAACGCATGCTCGGCCATCCTCGCGATTGGTTTCTATTTGCTCCGTCTGTTTCTGACCGGCTGGGAAGAAAACAAAATAAAAATCTCTCCCGGAAACTATGCTGTCCCAGAAGTCTACCCATTTAGTCAAGCCTCCAAAGCCACGATAAAACGAAACAGTCTCCGGGTCATGTTCCGTAAGCCGCGACGCCACTGTTGTCGCGCCACTTGAGTTTAATTTTGACGAGAAGTACAACAAAATATTTAGGTAAAAAACAACTCTAAACTTGCGTTCAAATTAAGAAATTAAACATGAATTCTGAACGATACACCTCAACTTACATGCTACCAACGAAGTGCAGAAGTAGGCACGAGGTCCTTGTTACTACGTCACGACAAGAAGCCGCCAGGTGGCGCAACTACATGTTCTCGGAGCTAATAGCAAGTTGTCTTGATGGCCCCAGAGTGCGCCTACATTTGAGTGGGACTCCAACTGCTCGGTCACGAGGTCTATGAGCCAAGTTGGCAATAAAAGTGCAATGTGGTGTTTAACACTTCGAGCAGAAGTCGAAGTGTCGGATGTCGTGAACCTGGAGGTTGATGCTAAAAGTTCTTGACAAAAAGTACGAGTGAACGCGAGTGTCAATGGCATCCCGTCTCGTCCAGGTTACTCGAAACAAGTAATCGATTACAATTACAATTACTATTGTTTAAAAAGTCTTCAAATTAGATTACTTGATTACTTAAAAGGCACCTCCACCGTCGATTTGAGCGTTTTTATCGAAACATGAAAGTAATATATGAAGGCAGTGGAAATAAGGATATAACATCGTACCGACCAATAACCATAACTTCTGTCCTGTACAGGCTAGCAATGGAGGGAATAAAACGAACAATAGAAGAATGGGCAGAAAATAGTTTAGGTGAGCTACACAACGGGTTCCGGAGAGAGTGAAGATTGGATGATAACGTATTCATCATCGCTCAATGTATAGAGGTGGCACAGATGAGGAAAAAAAACGTTATGGGCACATTTCTAGACATTAAAGGGTCGTACGATAATGTCAGTCAGGAAAAACTCTGTACAGCTGAGACAATATGATTTCGATGCACATTTGATTAGGTTTTTACAACAAGCATACACAAATAATAAGGTTGTTATAACAAGGGAAACAAAAATGACAGAACCGGCAGAAATAAAAGGACTCGGGCAGGGTTGTCCCCCATCGCCTCTGATTTCTATAGTATACCTGAGTAGAATGAAAAAGAAATTACAAGTGTAATTTAGGCTTTGATGTGTCATATACGGAGATGGAGAGCAGGTGAAAAGTAAAGCAAGTTATTCCAGGAATGCTGTACTCAGAAGACATTGCACTGTAGGCAGATAGCCGGGATAGGTTACAGGACCTGAATAAGATCTGCGGAAGGGATGGAGACTCTGGGCCTGAAATTCAGTAGCAACAAGTCACGAATAATTGTTTATAACGATGAAAAGGGGGACGCACTGAAGATTCAAGACGTTTTAATGGAACACGTGGAGAAGTATAAATATCTCGGAGTATTAATGGATGAGAGAAAACAATACTTAGAACAAGAATATAAAATGTGCTAAAGGAAGAAAAAGGGAATGCAGCAATTATGAAGTATAGGGCACTATGGAATAACAACATATGTGTTTTAGGGGAATATGTGGAGGAGTCATGGTGACAGGGTGGTCTTTTGGCAATGCGGTATTATGTATGAAATCTGAGGTCCAGTCAAACTTAGAGATCCGGCAGAGGAGCGTGGGCAGACTGGCACTAGGGCCTATGGGAGTACCCCAAATGAAGGCGTGCAGGGAGACATGAGCTGGGCACTGTTCGAGGTTTGAGAGGCGACCAGCAAGTTGAAATTCGAACTAAAGCTGGACACAATGGAGGATACACGATGGGCAGGAAAGGTATATAAGCATCTATATATGAAAAGTGAATACTAAATGGGTATACCAAACCGGAAAATGGAAATTCAAATACCAGCAGTCAAGTGCTGGGGCAGAGCAAACTACCTCTGTTAAATAGGAATCAAAAGAAGCCGAGAGGAAAATGTGGGAGGAAAGAATGCAGGAAAAATCAGCTTTAACTATGTTAGGTGACGGACGCAGGAAATAAGGAACATTTGTATGATAATTCACGGGGGAGTTCGTTATTTCAGACTAGAATAGGATTATTGAGGATTAGGACATATAGAACTAAGTGTGAGGAAATGGATTATCGGTGTGGCCGTATTCCAAGGGGAAAGCGAGACAATAGAACATGCGGTGTTGAGGTGCACTGCGCTTGCTCCCGCTCTCCCCGAGGAGGTGATGGATTTAGCCAGAGCGCTGGGGTTTGCTGACGAGAATGGAAGAATGGATGATAGGTGTATTTTAATACAGAAGGGAAGATTAGAAGACTGGTGGAAATTACCGAGGGAAAATTGAATGGCGTACAACTAATTAACCTAGCTGGGGACAGGCGGGAAAGAGGAAAATTAGGAATCCCTCCCACGTGGCTTCGGTTCAAAGTTTCAACCCCGTCTCCCAGTGGGTCCGGTGCTGGGGTAACACCGACTAGATTTGACCAGAGGAAAATTGACGATTCCTTCGCCCGGTGGAAGAGGCGGGGTGTGATGTTTTTAGTTTTTTTTTTTTTTTTGTTTTTTGTCCGATCCCTCAAAGGTTCTCTTGGTGACATCTTACACCATCTGGTAATAGTTCGAAAACTGCACCGAAGGAAGCCAATTGGCTTGGAAGGGAGAGTAACACTTTTTGTTTTTAGTTTCTATAAGCTAGGTTGCGCGAGATACCGCCGGATATAAAGGGTACCACCGTTAACATCCATCAATCTATGGAACATCTTTGGCCGTGGAGAGGAGTGCCATGTATCGATTTCGATTGCCCCGTTTACGTGTAGTACAACTCAGAACAGCGTGAATTTAAAGTAAGAGTTCACTTGGGTTTCACCCATTCATCTTCGTGAGAGCCACCGTTGAAACACGGACCTCTTTTGGCCGTAAGGACCTGCCTAGGCTAAGCTACGGGTAGGAGTACGGCCGGCCGCGTGCACCTTTCTGGCAGCCTAGCTACCATTCCACAGTGAAGCATAGCCCTCCCGGGAAAAGGATAATTGAAGAAACCCATCAGCCAAAGCTCTCGTAGACTATCAAGCTGGCGAGCGACCACACCAGTCGGAGACGCGTTCCAGGCACCATAACCGCACGACAAGAAGCTTTTCGGTTAAAAAACAAACAAAAATAAAACAAACAAAAATAAAACAAAAAAGTCAACCTCAGATCCTAAAAGGACCCATCTCGGAGTTGTGCACTCGGCTACATGACCGCAAGACTCAAGAACCAGGAAAGTTTTCGAGCAACAGGCCGCGCAAGAGCTGGTTCTCGGTATAAAGACAGGGTAGCCCAAACAGTCAAGTAGACGTTAAACAACTGGTGCTGCCGGAGGCAGGAATAAAGCGTAGATACACGATAACGACGGTTGGGACGTACGTCTAGAGGCTCCATCATTTTTGGGGTAAAACCCGACTTTACGCCATCACGGCATCACGGATGCGTCATCTATAATTGAGGATATACCGGATTTCTCCACCAAAACCGGGCGACCGTGACTGCTGTCCATTTTTCCTTCCAAACTTGTATAAAATTGTCTATCTTTATATGTAGACTCGAATCATGGTCCCTCGATTCTGCTTCACCCTCTGCCGAGTGGCTCTTCCTGTCGGCGAACACGAAAGTGTCCCGAGCTCCAATAAACGACCACGCAATTCGCGGTAAATTGACCAACCATAAGCGCCGCTGTGATAAACCCGTTTTTCACTGTAAAGCTTCCAGTCCTCTCGAAAAGTGTTCATCCAAAAACAAATCAAATCTTCCAAACAAAATTTTTTTTCGTTTGACAAAGGGCCGTTACAGAGGAGGAAAAAAACTGATGAGAGGCAGGTCCCTTACAGTTCACGTAAATAATGCAAACAGCAAGTTCCAAGCATAAATATGATGCTCAGAATTGTCACTGTACTGTAGACGTTGATGCATAAAGAATTGAATAAAAAAATAAAATGCATAAAACACAGGAATTAATTGTTACATGGTTGAAACCAAACACAAACAGCTAACAACATCAATCACACAAGTCGTTTTTCTTTCATAATGCAATGCTCTTGAAATCGTTATTAAAAATGTTATCCCTTCCTACCAATATACTTCCGCGTTCTTTTTTTATCGGGCATTTTGTTCAATATCGGGAATGATTGTACAGTTTGTGTTATGTTATTAGTTATCCTGCTTATAGAATGTGTTTAGTTCTGCCGCTTTCCGTAATTAGTCCGGGTATTTGGGTGTTCTTTACGTGGTATGACGCAACGGGTACGACGATGTTCTTATTTCGACTGCAGAAACAAAACCTTCTATAAAAATTATTTGAACTCATTAAAATATGTGCTTGATTTGCTTTTAAGATTATATACCTATTAAAAAGTACTCAATCCTCGTAGTTGTACATAATTTTTAAATATTTCTAGAACATTTTTGTAGAGCTAGTTAGTTGTTAGACTGTTGTATTTAAATACGACTACCACATTTGAGAAAAAAAATGTGTGAAGTAATGGAATTTCAGTGAGCCACCGATAAACCAATTAGGCCTGCTAAATACAGCCAAGTTGTAAGAACTCAGATTTCGATTTATGGACTAATAAAAGTTCATTATAACTCATTAAACCATCCGCCCAGATACGTCTTCACTATAGCGGTTTTCATATTTTGTTTTCAAATATAATATTGAGCGTTTTTTGTCAAAAGTTTTGTATAGTTTGTTTAAAAAACAAAATTTGTTTTGTTTGTGTTTAATTGCAATTTGTTAAACTGCACCCATTTAAAAAGCTTCACAACATAAGCGTTTGCTTTTTCCTCTACTGGTTCTAATGTAATTACTTCGCTAAAAAGAAGTACGGGAACACGACCGCGTTCATTGTACATTAACTCCGGCTTATTTTATTAACTAGCCTTAAAAAAAGACGATTGTTTTACCAGTGCGTAGTTTGAAACTGAGAACGAAAACCGTTCTGTCTCCCTTACATTTTGTGACGTAAAATGGCCGATAACAAAGAACACTTCGCATTTTCGTTTCAAAATCATACAGCCGAGTTTTCCCACACCTAGCGCGGGAAAACTCAAGCTTGTTGGTAAACAGCGTGCTGGTGCGTAGATCAACTCAGCTAAAGAACTCCAGTGGGGGGGGGGGGGGGGGGGGGGGGGGGGCGGGGGGGGGAGGGGGGGTACCCTTGTCTCCCCCTTAAATCCGACAACTGTCGTTTAAACCCTAATCTACAGGCTGCGTTTCAAAACTGCGTTCCATAGAGTACAGTGGAGCGCCAACTAAATCCTGTGCTTCAAAACTTGTGTATGCCATAGAGCTCACTAGTTAGCATAGCTGCCGTCCCAAAACGGTGGCGCGTCGAACGGCGGAAAATAGACCCCGGGGGAGAGGGGCGTACTGCTCGTGGAAGCAGCGTCTATGGGGCAGTTTCATAACAGAGTTTTTTTGTTTATTTTATTCGAGACAATTGCAAGTAAAGTATTGTATTTGGTGACATGGCTAAAGTGGGATTTAACGCCAGCCGGGGCCATGCCACCTTTTCAGCTACAGCGACATAAAATCGTTCGACATACAAAAGATAAGCGGCTTGTTGAAAACTTAACAGACGTGGTTAAACATACGAGCTATTACCAAATTTGAGATCACTTGATCTACAGTAACGTATACACTAATGGATTTTTTCACGTGCGTTTGTCAGCGCCTTATATTAGTTATTTACCTGAAATCTTTCGTACAGGAAAGGCGAGCGCCTGAAGCGACTTTACCTACTTTCCCAGAATTCTCCTTTGTTATTGTATAATCAGGCAACTTGTCTATTCATTTGCACGAGAGTGCCTACAAATAGGGTGATAGTCAAGACCATACTCGCGCCAGTAGCTCTGACAGCGTTGTGCACTAGGTGGGAAACGGGAAGCACAGCGTCTTGGCTGGCGCCCCATGCCTGCAGGCACAAGCAGCATGCATATAAAGCCATCTTTAGGAGAAATATGGCAGGGAAATACGGGCGTTTTCGTTAGGCATTTGCCACCTCTGTGAATTCAGAGATGGAAAATCGGTGCATGTTTTGTCTCAACATTAATGGAAAATGCACTGCGTGATGGCGGAAGCTTCAGCGAAAGGATGAGAAAAATAACCTGAGAAGCACCAGCTTCAGGAGTCCCTGGTGTTCCAGCCTGCGTACGCATCGCTCTCTGAAGAAAAAAGAGGAACTGCGAAGCAAGAGACAGATTCAATTCGTTTTCTGCAAAGATCTCATCGAATGCTTTCGCTCAAGCAAGCGGCCCCGCATCGCGACCGTGATACCAAATACCGTATTCTGTGATACCGTCGTCCATCACGGACAGCTTCAATTTGACACTGCAGTCTTGGACAGCGAGACCTGAGTGAAAGCGGCAATTTGAATACGCATGACCGTCTGGATTTGACATCGCCAGTGGAACGATAACTTTGAATTAATTTTAAACGACGATTTTTCCATTGTTCGGCAAGACCGCACTGAGCGGAGAGGGGGAGGGATTTTGATCACGATAAAAAAGTTCTTACGTGCTGAAAACTTTGATATCATTCCAAGTTTTGAAGGCCTGTGGGTCAGAATAAAACTGATGGTGTTTATGTCATAGTGATTGCTTGTTACAAGCCTCCCGGGCTTCTGGATTTGTCTCCTTTAATTCACGAGTTTATGGAACTTCTTGTTAGAACTTACCCGAATGACATGTTTGTGTTCACAGGAGACTGACCTTCCGAACATTGTTTGGCCGACCTTCCCCTCCTCTATGCCCTTTGAAAGCTGGTTTACTCTTCCTAAACAAAGCAAATATTGTGTGGATGTAACGCGCGCGTTCTCACTTTGTCAATTTATTAGTCAGCCAACTCGCGGCTCTGCTGTTTTAGATTTGTTCTTTACATCAAAACCTGAGCGTGTAGTGAGTGTTCGTTTTATGGAACCATTTAGTGATGACGTTTCTATTTATTCTGAAACGGCTATTCCTACGCAGAAACAAATTCCTTTGATAAAAACCATCTCGAATTATTCAAAAGCAAACGGTGATGAAATCTGCATGAATTTAACATCATTTTCGGATCTGTACCTGGCTGACTTCAGTTGTAGATTGGTTAACGAAAATTGGTCGTTACTTAAATATAAAGTACATGAACTAGCAAATTTATACATTCCAAAAAAAAACCATTCAATCGTGCGTTGAAAAGCCTTGGTTTTCAGCACGGTTGAAGAGACTGCTGAATAAAAAACAGCGGCTCTACAGGAATGTCAAGCTTTCTCAGTCTGTAGATGCATGGGAAAGATACAACTGGTGTCAACAAACGTCTAAATTCGAAATAAAAAACGAAAAAAAAAAATTTACAATCAGGGTCTTATAAGCTTTTGAGATCCAACCCCAAAAAGTTCTAGACCGCTGTTAACCCAAAACAAGATAAATAATGTTTCCCTTTCACTGATGCATCTGGAAATGAGATGAGCACTGTTGAGACATGCGAACAGTTCAGTCGGTATTTCAAGGACGTTTTTTTTTTTTCGAGGACCAGTTTCCTCAACCAGACTTCGATTGAGACCATAATAGTTACAAAGAAATGGCCCCTTTAACTATCTATGCATCTGGCGTTATAAAACTGACGACCAACCATCGAACTCGGCACCAGGCCCTGACAAAATAACATCAAAGCTACTCAAACTTTGTAAATATGAGTGTTCATCTCTACTTTCCTCGCTTTTTCAACAGTCGCTAGACTAAAGTGAAATACCCGACGACTGGAAGCATGCTCAAGTGATTCCAATTTATAAAAGTGGTTCAAAGAATGAATTCTCTAACTACAGGCCAATATCTCTAACAAGTGTACCCAGTAAACTCATGGAACACAGTTTTTCAAACATAATGAACCACTTATGCTCGCACAACTAGTTCTTTGTAAACCAGCACGGTTTCCGAAGGTCCCACTCTTGCGAAACACAGCTTTTTGAGTTCATTAATGATGTCCATGAAAACCTGCACTCTCGCACTGAAACACATGCCATCCTTATTGATTTCCAAAAAGTGTTCGACAAAGTTCCTCATTACCGCCTCATGTTAAAGATACGTTCATTGAAAATAGACCTTTTTTATCTCAAATGCATCTAAACTTTTATTTATAAGCGCACACAAAGCGTTCATTATATCGATAAAAATTCTTCACAACAGAATGTCAAATCAGGTGTGCCAAGGGACCGTGCTCGGTCCTTTGATTTTTCTAATATATGTAAATGACTTGGCAACTTGTATTCGGTCCACAATTAGGTTATATGCCGACGATTGCGTGATTTATCAAAACATAGAAAGTCTAGATGACTGTGCATTTTTGCAGGGCGACTTGACATATTTTGAAACATGGTGTGAAGAGTGGCAAGTGAAAATTAATGTTTCCAAAGCAAAATTTCTCAACTTTAATACCAAACGTACATCAACCCAGTTCAACTACACTATTTTCAATTCGTCTGTTGAAAATGCTCCAACATACAAATATATTGGGGTTTACTTCACCTGCAACCTTTTATAGGAGCCTCACATAAATTACATTACTGCAAAGGCTATCAAAACCCTTTGTTTCCTGAACCGACACCTCTACCTTGCAACACGGGACACTAAACTGATCGCTTATTTATCTCTCATTCGACCCAAGCTTGAATATGCATCTCTCATCTGGAATCCGCGTCAGTCATATTTAATAGATAAGTTAGAAGCGATACAAAACGTACAAAACCGAGCTACTCGCTTCATACTTTGTAACTTCACCCGCACAAGCATTACAGAATTAAAACAGCAACTTCAGCTTACACTTCTTGCAGACCGTCGGAAACTGTCACGGCTGATTGCCCTGCACCAGCTGTACTACCATTCGCCATCCAAAAAAGATAAGTATTGCAGAGCCGCCATCCACATCTCCTCACGCACAGACAACACATAGAAACTTCACGTCACTACTCCTAGGACTAACATCTAGAAGTTTTCACCTTTACAGCTGTCTATTACCGACTGGAATTCACTCCCCAATAACATTGCAACAATAAAACAGCCCAGCGCGTTTCCAGCCGCACTTGCCGCTCTTCACACGTAATTAACCTAAACGTTTTTTTTTTTTTTTTGTGTGTGTTTTCTTTGTGAGTTTTAATATATGTTGCTGCTTGTCCCCCCTTATGTAAAGCCCCCTGAGGGCGATATAAGGGTACAATAAATGAAAAAATACCATTCGGCCTTTGCACCGCTTGGTGCGACACTGTCTTAATATTGTTATGGCAACGTATAGCTCAACAATTTTGCACAATCTGATCCTCTCCTTCACGCAAACGCAGTTCTAGGTAACACACCTTACCCCGAACGTCTGTAGTTTTTAACTATTACCAACTACTCAAATCTCTTGGTTTGCCGCAACGATAAAAATTGTTTCCCACAACCCATTCACTACTTCTTCACCCCTCCTGCCCGTGCAACCCTTTTCCCTGTTATGGATGGACAATATTTACGCGCAGGCATTGTTCATTTAGAGCGCAGCTCTTAGGCGCCCGTTTCTGGCTCGAGCGGCGACGCCGTCGGCGGCGTAACGACGCGTTGCATTATAGAACATTTTCCATAGTGACGTAACACGTGAAACCACTGAAACCGGGAAAATTTTACCGCTAAACGTAGCGGAGAAATTTTCCCGCTATATTTAGCCGAAAATTTTCCCGACCAATTTAGCGAGAAATATATACCCTCGTGACCGCACCCTCGCCTCCTCCTCCTCAAGAGCTGCGTTCTAACTCGGCATTACAGAAAATTGTAAACGTCCATTTTTTCGCATCTAACCTTTACAACAAATGCAAAAGACTTTTAGCCCGGGGTATGCCAAACATTGCAACGCTAATTCGTCAACTCCCAATTTCGGCGTCGGACATAGCACAGTATATAGGTTATACGTATTAGGGAACAAACATGAAGATTCATTATCTAATACTTGTATGTATAACCGACCAATCAACCACGCATTGTTGCTTACGTCCAGAAAAAGACAGTGCCATTGTCGAAACGTCAACGGACGTCAGGCCCCTCTCTCATTTTTCTTTTCATCTGCATATATAATTTTTTATTCTACTTCCATCTCACAATTCATTTTTGTAACTTCTTGTGTTCAACTTTGACATTTATTCTGTCATTTCTAAGTGTATTCTCCGGATATCTAGCTTTCATTATTCTTGTAAACTAATACAACATTTCGGCAATTTAGTCTTTTTCTTGTAACTTTTTTCTCAATTCGCCATTAAATTGGGTGTTTTTTTATCATCCTACGGCTGCAGCGTCGGCGTACCTTATGTTTGCCTTAAAAAATTCATAAAAGAAATTCAGGACGTGCTGCTGAAATTCAGAAGAGTTGACCCAAGTTTATTTGTGTAGTTCATTAGTAAAATATTTAGCTACAGTGCTCAAATATAACTATATATTCCTTACAATAACATATATGACACTAATTGAAAACTCGATGAAGATGACGAGTCAGCATTAATCGGCGATGCTGTGATTTGCTAGTCTCTTTATTAAATGCTGCAAGTTTATTCATCATAGACTATATGCAGATGCATCAGAGCCGAGCATCTGTACTGTTGATCATGAATACTGCAGTACTTGAAATTGATTGAGCCAATAATATTTGCTTCTCCTTAGAAATAGCTTTTTCACACACCAAAAAAAAATAAAAAAATTTTATTTTGTCTTGCACAATATGTGGATATGTTAGACTGACAGTACCAAAAAGAGATACCGCTTGCTATTTTTTATTGCGTTTTTATATTATAACACATGCCTTGATCTAGAAAAAATGTCCTCAGTGATCATGGAAAGTATGTTACTATTTTTGTAACTAACTAGATGAATTGCAGTGTAAGACATTCCTATCTTTGAACACAAAGCAGAACATTAGAAATAAAACGCTCTCATATCGGATCGACAGATCATGAAGTTAGGCTTTTTATTTATTTTATTGGTAAAAGCTTAGAAGTGATGTATTTTACTTGACATAAGAGGACGACCAAAACTCCCCGGTCAAAAAGAAATATGCAATGGAAATAGGCGGACAATTAAAAGGGACTATTGCTGTGCCAACCTTTTAAGCGTTTAAAAACGTATTTTTCTGAAAGACTAAAAAAACTATGTTGCATACCTCTTGAAGCTCTGCATCGTTCTCATCGCCATCTGAGTTGTCCTGAAAAGGCAGCAAGACAAAAAAAAAAAGAACTGCATCATTTGTCATACAAAAAAAAAAGAAAAAGAAGGTATGCTTTATCAAATCGTCGCAGAGTTACTCTTTTACATTAGTTAGTCTTCGAAGCCTGGAGGCATTCAGTGTGATTCAAGCATGTCACAACTCCGAAGCTAGCGGAAAAAACGCAGAAACATTTGCTGCCAAAAAGGGTGTGTTACGAACATAGTACTATTTTTCGGTGTGTATTTGTGGCTCCACTTAGAGATGCGATTTCCGAATTAGCAGATGGCATTGATTAAGTAACTACCTCCAAATACTGATATGTTTATGTTACCCGTGTAAGATACTGATATGTCGCATTCCGAACAATAGACGCTAGTAAGTCAAAGTTTAGTGCGTCGTGTTTTGTCTTTTTTACAATCTCAGTTTTTTTTTTCTTTATTAAAAATGAAGCATAGGTGTTAATTACCAATTCATTGCTGCTATCGGTAATAATTCTTTAAAAAAAGTTAGAAAATTGAACGTGCACCTTAAAAGGCCAGTATGAGCTGAAAAAAAAATGGTGCAATTTCGACATCGTCGCAAATTGCCGAATTTCAACGATTCCCGAATCTTTTGTGACGAAAAGTGAGAAATATTCTCTCGAGAAATATAGCTCCCTTAGCTGAAACCTATTAATCACATTATCATTTTATATCTCTAATGAGAATGTGGCATAGATGTGTCACAGGAGCCAAGTTAAACCGGCACCAATCCACTCATCCTCACACACAATACACAAATAAATTTACAGACGAACAAACATATCAACAAAAAACTTCCATTGTGCCACGTTGCCAAGGTTAGGGTACTTTCTGCAACGCTTCAACGAAGTCAATGCTACTTCCGCGAGCGCGTGGTTTCGTTTCGCTTCTTCCCGCGAGATTGCGAATGAATGAAATGAAAGACTAAGGCAACGTGCCTTAGCAACAGTGCGGGGTTTACGGCGCCGTGGAAGCTACATTAAGGCTTGATCCCACAGTCGCGTCGACTGCGTTGCGCTGCGCTGCGTCGTGCAGTACAGCGCCTTCCCATTGGCTCTTCATAAGGGTCGCCATAGCAACACCTCGACGGAAGCAGTCTGAATGCATTCAAACGCAGACAAACGCAACTGTGTGAACGAGCCTTTAGCCTTCCGAACATAGCACAAAAACTTTTTTTTTTAATTTTAATATGGGGTTCTAACATTTTGGCAACACTAGAACGCCTCCATGCAAACACGCGCTTTTGAGTGAGTGGTGACATCTCAGACATTTTTCCGCCCAATCGATTTTCTTCAACCGCAAACAGGCGACTCAGCTCGAGCACGAAGCCTTGGCTAATGCTTTGACGCCATTTTACTGCAGGAGTCATTCACTAAGTGCGCCAGTGCGTCACGTGCTGGCACACTCGGTGCAACAAAGGATGCCTTCATAAGGACCAGACAGACCGACATGGAGGCACTCTTGGATACCCTAAACAGCAGGGAGTATTGCACTCCGCGTGCGCAGAATCTCTACGCTTGCGCAATACGACGCCCCAAGCCGCTCGAGGGACCCAAAGCCTTTGGGGTCCCCCTATTCTAAAACTATCTAACAACGCCGAGTATTCAGGAGGGGCCCCTCTTGCATAAGTTGCAAACTTATTCGATAAGAGCGACAGGCTTTGTTTATTTTGTATTGTGGTCCGTGCACATCACAAAAAAAAAAAATCATTTTTGTTTGTCTTTGATTTAATGCGGCTGTAGTATTCGAACGCTGAGTCAGCGTTTGGGTGAGGCTCGTGTTCAATCGGTAGAGCACCCATTGAACAGGCTGACGCAGCACGAGTCGTGTCCAAAATGTGTTCCGCGCTTGATCAGGGCAGACAACGTGAAGAAGCCATCGAAGTGTTGTGTGCATGTTTATACAGCCGGAAGTTAGTCTGCTTCAGTGGGCGTCTGGAGTCTCAGCGGCACTCTCAAGAAAAAAGGGTGTCAAAAGGTGTATTCTTTCACCCTTTGTCCCATATAATACACCCCCAAATTTCAATTCGACATACAGCGCCCTATAGTCGAACAGACGGCCCGAAATTTTACGAGGGGCTTGATAGCCGTGTGGTTCAACTTATTAAAATAGCTAATGTACGTTTTACTGAACACGAAAAAAATAATCCGGGTTTTCTTGGCCCTACCGTAAAAACTCGGGGTTTTCTTTATGTGGTCTTTGATACGTACTTTAGCTATTTAAAATGTTGTACCACACGGCTACCAAGCCCCTCGTAAAATTCCGGGCTTCTGTTCGACTGTAGGGCACTGTACGTCGAATTAAAATTCTAGGGTGTATTATATGGGACAAAGGGTGTAAGAATACACCTTTCGACACCCTTTTTTCTTGAGTGTGTATATGATCAATTTAGCCAGTGCATTATGACCACTAGCCTGCCGTATTTAACGTGCACCAGGCAGTAGTGATATACGACCGCATGCCGGTACGATGCTCATCCTGATCGAAACGGGAAAAGGTGGGGATTGAACCCAGGATCTTTGGGATTTGCAGCGCGTACTTTCGCGTCATATGCTCAGAGATGGTGCGCACCAGCAGACTCGGCCACTGATCCCACGACCGATCCCTTCAAATAATTAGATTTCGCAGGCGAAAAACAAGCTGGACCATAGCCCCCTTTATGCTGGCAATGCCTGCCCAAATTCTGCCTTCCTCATGTGTTAGCGTCTTTGAGCCTGCTTCCCATAATCACCGCCAGGGGCGCCACCTTTCCATACAATGAAGACGATGCTTGACCGCTGCGCACTGTTGCTACCGCAACGTACGTGATTCCGATACTTTCAGAGCGCATTTTCGTAGTGGGTGGGGAGCAACATGTATAGTTTCCGATTGCCAATACATGTAGTGAACGATAGATATGACCCAACAGAAATTATAGCCAGATGGCCGAGCTGCTAAACTTTCAAAATGTCGAAATTGCGAACACTGAAAATGTTTTATTGTTGATGCCAAGGCCCAGGCGAAAAAACGGAAGGTGAAGAGGAACCGAAACGGCCGGGATCCTCTGGAGTTGCAAGCGCTACGAAGTCTTCTAAGCAGTGTGTAAGGTGTTAGCTCTGCCGTGGCTCACGTTTTGTGAGGACGTACTGTGCCGGTCGTCAGGCACCCGTTACTACCTCGAGGAACCAGAGAGAGAATTCGGCAGGCCAGCCAGTCAAGCAGCCCCGAAAGAGGACGTATAAGGGTATATGAGATGATCCAGCTTTGAGGACGGAGGACCAAAACAAGCCGGGCTTCAAGGGAAGCCTCAGCAGGATGCTGAGGATTCGCTCAAATAAACATTAAAACAGGTATGTCTAGTTAGGTCTTACTTAATGTCCGTCGCAAAAAGTACCTACTGCATACTCTTGAATAACAGGAGGTAGAATTTGCTACGCAGGCTTTCCTCAAAATAAGCCTCAGACACGTTATGGTTCCTGATGTTGCTTGATGTCTCGCAAAAGGAGAACCCCATCCCCTTGTTTCGCGACTGCCTAAAACGCGGTAAAAGGTGTTAAAATGAATACCTAAGTGCGACCTATAGCCACTACACCAAATGCCCAAAACCACACGAATACAAGAACTCACGAGAGGCCTGAGCACGTCGAGCACGTTTTCTGTCTTGTATGGGAAGGCCACAAGGATAGCCAGCTATCCTTGTGGTGATAGCTGGCTACCGGCGATTGGGCAGGCATTTCCATTATACGTGAGACTACGGCTGAACAAAGTACCAGAGTTTTAATTTTGTAATTTTAATAATATTGTTATCAATTTTCTCTTCAACGAAACAAAAATGAACAACAGGTTTTTGAACGAAGCGGGCTTGAAATTAAGGTCGAGTTTGGAGGTCTAGCTGGATGATGTGGTACTCACGCCACCCGCATGCGGACAGATGTCAGCCGTGTGGATCCTCTTGCAAAACAGGCAGGTAACTTGCTTGCACCGAGAGCACCAGACAGCGCGTTCGTTCCCGGGGAGAGGGTGACCGATGCCATCACATCCCGCTGTGGCGCAGGCAATCTTTTCATTCCGGGAATCATCATCGTCGTCGTCGTTCAGGTTCTACAGATGAGCACCACACATTTTAGACAAAGGAACGCGGCATGCGTCGGGAAGGCGAGAAAAAACAATCTCCACTAAGAAACTCAACGTATTTGATGGATACATTTCTTGCAAAAAGGTGGAAGCCCCAAGAAGCATACTGCTTTTGCAGCTGGACGCATTGCACTCGTAGGCATCTAAGCATTGCACCGAAAAACTGAGGGGGAGGAGGTGACGAGAGCGCGCGGACACGTCACGACGCTCACCTCTCACTTGGAACGATTAGTGGGTACTGGGTGAACGAGTAAAGCCAGCTGGGTGGTTGGCTGCATTTGAAATCGTACATGGGTGTCGCGGTGGGTATTTTGATTTGCCTTAAAAGTATTATAGCCCCAATTCTGCCATAAACAAAACCACTTTTTTTTTTTGCAGAAATTTTGAATATGATTGAGGCGAAATGTTATGCTTAGGCTGCTTGATTTGTATACCCAGTTCTGTCGCTTGTTATAAATATGTAAAAAATTGAAAACACTCGCACGAAGTTTTGTAACTATATGATGTATCGCCAATTTTTTTTTTTTTCTTTTAAACTACTCTGGCATATTTTATGTCAAAAATAAGAAGTGCCAAGCATCGCCCCTTTGACGTTTTAGTGACCCATTTTGAGCATTGTATATTAGGATTCATTTTACATTTTGCTATCCACCTGGTATCACTTATCATTAAATTTCCTTTATGATGAAATGTAAACGTTTATATAAATCATTTTGTGAAAATATATTCAACTAAATTTTACCAGCGTTATTAAAAATACCATTTTTTATTTCTTATATTTTTATTCATATTGTTTTCAATTATGTTAATTTTTTGTCTCTAGAAGTGCTTAAACAAGCGTGCATGCTCCCGAATCGGCAAGAGCGTTGTGTCGCAATTGGCTAGAATGCAGGGTTTTTTAGCCTTCGCATGCCAAGGGGAGAAGGTGTGCTAAGGGAAAGGAAGTGTTTGGGAGGTTAAGGGGCGACAGAAAGTGGCGGTGGTTAGGGAAGAGGGTAGAGAGTTGTGTAAACGTACCCCCCTTACGCAAAAAAAAAAAAAAAAAAAAAGACTGCCCCTAGTTTTCAGATTTTCCATCGCTGTTGGCGAGCACGTTTCTTTTCTTTTTTTTCTATGGAAAAGGCCGCGGGTGGGGGGGGACCAAAATCCTTGCTACGTGCCGGATAGGACTACAGGCATATGGTATTTAATAAGCAAAATTCATAACGAATCCTAAGGTACAATAAGGCTCCAATTATCTCCCCAAAACGTCAAAGATGCGATGTTTAGACTTTTTATTTCTGGCATAAAATATATCAAATCAGTTTCAAGGAACGAATAGGCCATCTGTGGCACATTTAAGAATTACTGCGAGTGTTAAAATTTTTAGCGATATAAACCGACGAAACTGGGTACAAAAATCAAGCGGCCTAAACGTAGCCTTTCACCTTGCTCCTCCTCAGAATTCATGTGGAGAAAAATAATGTTCTAAAAAGTAATAAGTGGTTTTGTTTAATGCAGAAGTAGGGACATTTTTTCATTGCAAAAGTAGGAGTATGATATACCGTGCGTCGGCAAAAAAAAAAAAAGAAAGAGCAAGTACCGCTTTTTGCGCACATAAAAATATAGACATTGCTGAGAGTTTTAACTCTATCAGAACGTAGCCTCAGCCGTTCGAGCAAGTTGCCAAAGTTTCAGCACCAACCGTTATCTTCTCCAAAAGTTATAAACGATTTTCTGAAATTTTCGATGGAAAAATTGAGCCCATTTTTGCCCGTTTTTGGTTTGTGGCGCCGTAGAGCTCCATGTATTGGAGAGCTCCGTCGGCTGCCGTTTTTCCATTGAAATTTTCAGAAAATCGCTTGTAATTTTTGAATAAAATAAAGGTCGGTATTGAAAATTTGGCAGCTTGCTCTAACGGCTGGGGTTACGTTCAGAAGGCTCTCCGCGATGTATAGTTTACTTTTGCGGTGCGAAAAACAGAGTTCGGTTTCCTCGCAGACGCCCGGTACAACTCGAAATGTCGAATCAAAATACCCACCCCGACACGCGTGTTTGAGTTCAAACAAAACTACCCAGATTACTGTCTCTTCACTCACTGCTCGAATGCGTTCGAATGCAAACGCGGAACGTTGGACGCCGGCGTTTGGCAATCGAGCGCGTACACGAATCGTTCCAACCAGAGCTCGGCATCAGTGTTGCGGAATGGGCACCCCCATTCCATTCCAATTCCATTCCGGGGAATTAAAGTTTTCGATAATTCCATTCCTTTCAACTCCTAGGAATGGGGACACTGGGTCCATTCCCACTCCTGGAATGGCTAAGTCGCTCCATTCCATTCCTCCAATTCCTAAACGTTAGAAGTGTCACATGACAGCTGCATTACGTTGCAGGGTTGGGCAGAAATATTCAGAAATGTATTTGGAAATACAAATACTGGGATAGATGAAAATAGTTGCTGAGATACTGATAATCAAGTCTCAAATATATCCATAAAAATGTATCGTGATACGTGTCGGAAATACATTTTAAAAAGAGGGAAAAAGTCTTTGGAAATACAAATACAAGAATACATTTTAAGAAGGGCAGAAATATAAATACTGATAATACAATACATTTTTTCACATTTCTTTGAGACGCCAACTGAGATGAGGCTTTAAGTTTGAAGTGGAAGTTTCTTCTTCTTTTTTTTTTTTTTGGTCCGGAAATTACTTTTCCGCAGGCTTGGCACTTCGCCTTGAAGGTAGTGGTTCCGGACGAAGAGTCCTAAATGGGTTTAGAAAACGTTTCATCAAGGATTGACCGCGGTCCCTTCCCTGGCATCCTGTCTGACTGACCAGTGATACGAAAAGACCGACCTCTAAAATAAATTCCATCAAAAAATCACCACTTCCCTGTCCAATAAGGGCGCCCCTGTCAGCACTGCATGACGTCACGGTGGGATGAACCAGTATTCTTGAATTTGTAGGTGTTGCCTTGAACATGAAACTTTACCCACGCTGCTGTATGAAAGGACAATACGTATCGTTGTAGCTGACCTCGTTGAAGACCATGCAGGCAGTGGCATTTGGAATTTTCGAGAAAACTGGACCACCTGAAGCATCCTGAAGCGCATGTATTATCTTCTGTTACGGTTGAAAAATCGATACGGTGACATCCCTGTTGTGACTGTCCTTCCTCCTGACTCTCCGCCTCAAACGCATGAATGGCAGTCTTCAAGTTTCGCCTAGCATCATTCAAACAGGGACCTCGTGGATTGCGACCTGAGATGGCCGGCACAGGTGCGAGCTCTTCGGGAAGCAGCGCGCTCGAGACGAGTCGAAAGTGTACGAAGTCTGGGTCCGCACAGCGAGGCCACGTCTGGCCTCCTTCCTGGGTATCGGATCACCAGAGCAGCAGGTCACGTTCACGTCGGCTGATGACGTACCAGCCGTGCAATATTACAGGCGCAGACGCATGAAAGGCGCCACCGCCCCCCCCCCCCCCCCCTCCCCCCTCTGTTCGTTGCTTTGACGCTTGTTTTTTGCATTGCATTTTTTTCTTTAGCGCATAAGCCTGCTAGGGCCTTACGCGGGTTCGCAGTTTCCCGCTCATTTTATTTCTGAACAACCAACTCCCTGATTGGCTCGGTATAGCTGAACGTAAAAAATAAATAAATAAATAAATAAAATATAAAGAACCTGGCCCATTCCATTCCGATTCCATTCCGGACAAAAGGCATCCAAATCCATTCCCATTCCAGTCCCCTGAACGTTGCCGCAATTCCATTCCCATTCCATTCCGGGGTCGCGAAAATGCGGAATGATTCCGGAATCATTCCAACTCCGGAGTGGCAACTCCGCAACACTGATGACTACAGCGTGATTCACGTTAAAGCACCCAGGCAAGACGTGGTACTGCGCTGGCTAAATTTCTTACCTACAGCGGAAATACCGAACGTCCATTGGGACAGAGCCAACTTCCCAATGTCTAACGTTCAGAGGACAGAATCGCTTTTTCATTTACCATGACCCAAACTTTTAACAAACCACTTTCAATAGCCCCCCAGTTGCAAAAACTAAACTTTCCGAAAGAAGGAGGCTCACCTGAAGAGGAACGCCGTCTAGTCGAGCCACAAGCTCCTGTAAAAATTCCTCGCACGTCTTGTTCTCGTGAATTGCTTTGCAAGGGATGCAGTTGACCTTTTGACAATCTAGGCATGTCGCGGTTTTCATGTCGCGCAAGACGCTGAATTTTCCCGTACAGTCCTCCGTGGCACAAGACTGGAGGGGCAGTCCCATTAGCGACTTGTGGCTGAGGTAAATCTCCTCGGAAAGGACCTGCAAAGCGTTTCATTCCGCGGAACATTGTATATTTGGTGCAGCAATGTGGTGCAAAATAAAGAGTGTAGGAAGAATACATTTTCCGAGAACAACTGTTTCATTCACTTGGCGTGCGCCTGAACCGCAGAGGAGAACAGCTGTAAAAAAATGGCAAACTCTAAAATAACAACTGTTAAACCTAGAAATAAACTTATTTAGCACCGTGAATATCTATGTCGTCTCTTTAAAATTGCCTACTTTGAATGTGCAATGCAATTGTTTCATTTGATATCTGCTGGTCAGGATTATTTGACGAGTATGGCATATATGTAAATTTTTTTTTTATTAAAATCGAGTTGTGTTTGTATACGAGTGAAACCACTCGAAGAGTGTGTGTTTTACTTCAAGATATTAACATTCCTGTGATCTTTGTTGTTGTCAGTCTCGTGCTCTCATTAAAATGTTTTGGAGATCGGTACAACTACCAATAAACCCAATCTCAGGAAATGCAGCATATAGTTGCTCCGCGCGAGTCCTGCATGCATGCACGTTTATGCAGCAAGACATGCGGCATCTTCAAACGTACGATTACCCTTTTGAGCAGCGAATCATTGACGTAGCTCCGACACCGCCTCCCGTCGGGATCCTTGGCTGGACATCGCACGAGGTACGTGGGGGATTGGCGAGCACCTCCCTCGACGCAAGTTCTGAAAGAGGTTACATCACACAACTTCAGGAAGCCAATACTTCTGGCGATGCTATAGTAATCCCAGTGCTAAGACTGGTTCGCAAGTTTAAGTTGGAGTTTAAGTGGAAGCGATGAACCTTCTTGCGACTATAGAACGCACTGACACATTGGCGCCATCTTACAGGTAGCCCTGGAGCCCCTCCGACCGGCGTGTATAATCCCATTCGTACACGTTTTTTTCATCGTGGGCTTGAAATCAGTTTGAAAATGTTACAAATGACAATTAAAAAAAAAAATAGCGCGTAGGTTTGTCTTTGCAGTTTGCAAAACCTTCAGTCTAGCTTTAGGCGGATCGGAAGTATTCCAGGCAAATCTGCGAATCATCCTATAAGGGCCGCTGGAGTCTGGGACTTCTAACCAGCTATTTATGAAGATTTACGAAAAGAATGAACGCACACACGCCAAACAACCAATCAAAGATCGTGGGGACAACATTGCTCGTTGTCGTCCTCGTTTCTTTGTCTTGCACGGGCGACACAAGCTACGATTACGTCCCTATCGGTGCTACAAATTTTCTTGCAGATAATGATTTTAAAATTTGGAGGACTCGTAAGCTTCGCCTTTAAGAGTGGAACGCGATAGCGTTATCGGGCCCCGTTCGCATCGCATTGTCATTCGCCGTCCAAGCTTGTTTTGCATGGCCTACTCAGTGCCATGTATGGCTGGCCACCACAGGGTCGTGGGTCTGATTTCCGCTAAAAATTCTTCAAATTTTTTGTAAAGCAAATGAATTACTGTATATATAAAGTGCAATCATTTGAGACATGCGGCGACCTTCAATTCGCGTTACATGTTATGTTTTTAATCGCTATCATTCCACGCGTATATGTAGCGTTTCACGCGAGGGTTGTGGGCTGTTTGAAATTGACGCGCGAGGTCATGTGGCTCTGACGTCATGACCATATCGACGAATCAGGAGTTTCGCGTCACGCCGCCGACGCCGGCTTTCCTGCCACGCCACCGACGCCGGCTTTTCTGCCACGCTGCCGAGGCCGGCTTTTCTGCGATACGAGCTCCTTACCGCTATCGCGTTAAAACACTTGACGCTTTATTAGTTTCAGATTGCACACAGGGTAGCCACATTTAAAACACCGAGTCTCCGATTGCACGACCGAAGTACTCCTAGAAGTCGACGACATTTGTAATTCTCCCATTCACAGTTGTATACTTAATTTATGAATTAATTACAGGAAGCAGCTTGTCAAATATCCCGTTGCAATCTATGTGTTTGTTCTAACGTCATTTCTTGCAACAACGCTTGAATTTAAGACTTTACCAAAAACCTATAGCATGTGAACTTTGTTAGTGAAGGGTGAACATGGCAAACATTTTTCAAATTTAAGACTTCGACTCACAGGCAAACTTGATGCAAGCATGGCCGCACTTCAGCAATCTGAACCTGCAATTTCGAAGTTTCGCATACGCAGCAGGGAAGCGTAGCTGCCGCCGGGTTATGCATTTCCGTGAAACACTCCTGGAAGCAAGAACATTCAACGTCATCTTTACTCCATGGGTAGGTCTCCTGGCAGGTGTAATCCAGTCAACAGTGCAAATAAAACGGTGTAGAAGCTCGTCAATTTCTAAAGCACTTTCTAATTTCCCTCTAGCTTTTAGCGATCTCACTGTAGCCGTCAAGCAATCACAAACCCCCGGACCACCAACGAGTGTCTTTTTAAAGGCCCGTTGACACACGCACTGCAAAGCAGGAACAGCGCTAATGCAGCGCTGACTTGAGGGTAACTTAGCACTGATGCAGGGCTGCATCCACAAGGTCAGTGCAGCATCAGCATGATCAATTTCAATTACAGCCCCCTGACTAATGGCACTGTGGTAGCGCTGTGGTGTGCGTGAACAGGAGTTTCAGTTGTCAATGACAATGCTACCAGAGCACGCGTGTCCGATCTATAAGCTGTTTTAAGGCTTTACTGATGTTTTAAAAAAGCCGCGAAATCTACACTAATGCGGTTTGTGCACGGGAGTTATTTGGTCAGGGGGACATAATATAGGGGAATAATCCTCGCAACAAGTCGGTTAATTAATCAAAATGGGTTAACCTTAAATATTGTGGGTAATTACAGTCAGAAAATTGTCGATTGTCGTCGAAAAGCACTATATAAGCAAATTTAGGAAAGGTTTGGGATGAATAGGAAACGCGGTGATGCGCTTTAAGACTTCTGCACTTCGTGTAAAACAGGCAAGTCTAGTGTTGCGAAAACGCGACCGCACGGCTTTTCCGTATTCGCGTTTTACGCACCACCGGCATTGCACCCGTTGATCGAGCGGTAACTTTAGTGAGCCACCCCCAGTGTAAAATCGTGTGTACAAATTTTGCTCAGTCCAATGAGCGCATATGATACGATAAGATCATGTAAGGGCAAATAAGAACCTTATATAAGAACAATATAAGATTATAAAGAAAGTTATAAGAAACTTCTTATCAGTTCCTTATAACTTTTTATATACAGTTGTATGGTTACTGTGTGGCTGAACCAAGAAATTCCTTACAATATCTTTCACTAGGAACCGCACATCCCATACGCACCAGATCCATTTTAATTTACTTATTTAGTGGTTTTAGATGACGCTCAGCAAGTTTTATAGGAACTATTTTGTGACGCCCCTATATAACGTCCCACTGGCCGTATAGCCAGACTTGGAAAGTAATTAGTTACAACGAACAGATTACTTGTAATCCGTTACGTTTTCGAGTAATTTTGTAATTGCCACTTTACTTTTTTTTAAAGTAATTTGTATTGTAATTTCGTTACAAAATATTGGTAACGGATTACATTAATTACTCGCTACTTTTTAAAAAATATGAGCATAATACAGTAACTGAGCAGTACGAGCAGAACATTTAGCAGCATGAAGAGAGCAAGTTCAAGGAAATAGAAAACATCAGGAAAGGGAGAATAGCCAAAAAGAAAGCACGATTTTTTTATGACCTATCACTAGAAGCACTAGAAAAACGGGCAAGGCATGTACAAATATAACAAAAACAAAGATCAAGTAAGACAACCGCAAGTAGGTTCTCCGCTGCCTTTTATAGCGTTTTTCTTATCCTGGGCAGGAGGAGGCTCTTCGTGTTTATTTGTTTTCGTCTTTTACACCGTTTCACCCTTTCCAACTTCATCGAAGTCTCCCGCCACTCGCACAGACATTAAACGCGGATGCGTACCCCCTCGATTCGTGGGTCGACAACTCGCGTAACAAATGATGTAGCCTCGCGCGAGGGGGTCGAATCCTCTTTGTCTTTGATGTGCCCTACTTTATTCTGGCACGCTCTTGAGGCACGGCTGAAAATCTCCCGCCGCCAGGCTATGGGCATCGTATTCGAGGGTGCAGACGATACTTCTTTTGGTTTACTTGTCTGGGCATGGTGGTCGAGTCCACTCCTCCCTTTACAGTCAACTGTCAACTTAAAAGGGGGGAGGGGTTAGGCCATCGAAGAAGTGCTGACAGAGAGAGAGAAAGAACGCATAAAAGTGGTGTGATCCTCTATTGTCTTCTGAGACCGATGGAAACCGTTTCTCTCGCTCTTCCTGCCCTCCCCTCCCCTGGCCTACACGAATATTGGTATGAAAGTGAGAACCGATGAACGATCGATAACCCGTAACCACCACTTCCTCTCCGACTGGTCGAGTTTTCGGTCATGGAGTGTCCGTCGTCTCCATGGCCATCTTAATGAGATGCTCGAAATTCAAGGCATTAAGGAGAACGGAAACCTAGAGTGTCAGTGCATACTTTGCTTGCCAAAAAGCACACATTGTCATCAGCAAAAACAGCAAACTCCAATCTACGGAAACACATGAACGTAAGCTGGGACACCTGCATTCTGCATTGGCTATACACTAACGTTAGAACCAAGTTTTTCTTTTGTTGGGAATAACAAGCGAAACATCGGAGTGAAAAGGGAGATTCCTTATTTCCCTTCTTTAGCGCCGAATCTCGTACGGAGGTAGACGCTCCTACGGGGCATGCGCACCGCTAGCTGTGTCTGCACAATTCCAGGAATCATTTCCGGAGGCCGCAAGCTAGCGGGATGGCGGGTGTGGTTGCAGCTTTCGGTGCCTTGTTAGCTTACCGGTGATCGGAGTGCACCTACAATCTTTCGCCTAAATACGATATTTTATATTTACAAGGGCTACTGTAATACTGGCGTATGAAAGACGAAAAGCAGTGTCGCGGAACATTTTTAAAAAATATCAAAATTGTTTCTATTGTTTTCTGGATAAGTGCACGGAAAAAGTAACGTGAAAAGAATTTGTAACGTAACGAGTAATCCGTTACTTTTCAGCGAAAGTAATTTGTAACGGCAATCCATTACACTTGAGGATCGGTAATTTGTAATTGTAATCCATTTCATTTTTCAAGTGACGAGCACCAGTCTTCGTATAACTCACATGCACAAACCCCATTAGCTTTCACGGCTGTTTATTAATACAAACACACTATAGTCACTGACAGAATAAGAACGGCAGAGAGGCATTTTAATAGACCGGTCTCACCCGCAAGTTTCGCTATGCCACCGCTGCCGGGATGCATCGAGAACTTCAGTCTTTCTGCACGTGCGGCAACTTCGCTAAAGCTCTGAAAAATCCAGAGCTAGAGGTAGCGCGAGGAAGTCTCGAGCACTGCCCAAGTGCCTCCTGTGAACTAATGTTAGGGTGGCGTCATGCATGCGTGGAACGCTTAGTGAGATCAGTCTATTGGACCGGCTTCAGCCTCAGCTTCATATACGCGTCGGCGTCTATAGTGGGCTTCAAGCATGCACGCACAGGCGAAGCACGACGAAAGGCAAGAAACGCGTGCTGGAGACCGGGTGCCACTGCCTGGCTATAGACTAGTGTCTGCTCTGTTCCATGGGCCGCCATGTTTTTTTCATGCCGACATAATGACACAGTAAAAAAAGGGGGAGGGGGGGGGGGGAGTGGCGCTCTTTGCAAGACACCGTTTTTTTTTTGTATGTTTTCGCAAATATTGCGGAGCAAGAACGTGAGAAATGGAAAGTCACGAAGCTCCAAGAACAACACCGATGCGAAGAAGGCTGTCAAAAGCACAAATCTTGTTTTTATGCGCAGCCTCTCTTCGCAAGAGTCTGCGTCTGAGATTATTTCTTCCCTCTTTTATCGCTGGGGCCTAGGATTTCGGATGCCGCTCTATACGGCTATGAACAAAGAGGACGAGACGGGCGCACGCTGGAGACGTCAGAACACCAAACTCTGAATGGAATGATCAGTTGGTAGAAGCAAAGCTATAGCTGCCTTTGTTTGCTGCTCGCTCTTCGAACGCGTTCAAACGCCGAACGCCCGCGTCCTTCGTTCGCGTTCGAACAGTGAGTAGAAACATAGCCTCCTCTATACTCAAAAAGCCTGGCAGTTCGACGACGGAGCCATAGAGTGCCCAGTCGCAGATTTGGAGCACGTGGATCTGATAACACAGAACATCAAAAAGCCATTCATCGGGGAACCTGGACGTCAGCGCACAGCTTTTGCAGTGACGAGTACCCGAAACATACTTGTTCGCTTGGAGTGTGTATCGGCGTCTCGCCCAAACGGGGCTCCAGTCACGTGGTTTTCCTCTCATCCGCTGCCTGCCGCTCCACCTTTTCCATTTCAGCGGCCGCTTCTTGTGATCAGCCAGACTGTCAGTATATAGGAACTATGGTAGAGGTAAAGGCAGCTAGCTGACTGTGTCTCCTCCAGTTTCTACCAGTCTTGCTGTTTAGCTCCCTTGGCCTCTTACGCTTTGGCGTGCGCGAGGTAATTAACCCTTTGCCTACCGCAAAAAGTTTGGAAAAAAAAAACGACTTGAAAATACCGAATATTTTTATGCGCCCTATAAACAACTCTCAACACTCAATGAAGACAGCTTTTTTTTTTTTTTTTTTTTATTACCGATGATGTTTTTACCACAGATGACGCTTTCAAACTATCGCATAGCCAGTGTAAAGGCCCGACCACACTAGCGTGAACGGCGCCGCCGGGCGGCGCCGCCGGGCGGTACCGCCGTCCGGCGTCCCAACGCGAGGAGTCCACATTGGCCTCCGTTTTGCAGGCGTCACGTGACAGCACTGGTTCCCGCGATCGCGCCTCCCGTCGGATTTCCCGCTCTTTCGTCGTCTGCTCTTCGTTAGATTCTTCCGTTCCGCACTCGCTGTCTAGACGGTAAGAGTTCATAATGACCTGGTGATCAGCGTGAATGTGATTATCCTAACCTGCTCGTTGATCTTGCGACGTCGCCGCGCTCTGAAGGGAAGGAGGCGCAGGTTTTGGGTCCGGCCGGGTTGGTTCTACCGAAACACCGAAGGACAGGAGAGGTCTGGCGCGCCGCCGGGGCTTTGCTGCCCCGGCGGCGCGCCAGAGACGAAGGCTACTTTCGAAAGTGTCACCAAATCAACACGACATCCGTCACAACAGAGACGACGTGCAACAAGTGCCACGGAGAAACTCACTTGTAATTCCGAATTCCTCTCCTATAGTATAGTTTCCCAGTGGTTAGTTTCAAGGAACCGCTCCGTTGGGGAAGGCATCGGGGGGAAATAGGGGGACAGGGGGAGCAGACGACACAAAACACGTCCTTCGCTTCGAGAGGCGCCGAGGACCGGCTTGAGCGTTGCCATGGCATCGCGACGTCACTATCTACGCCATCTCCCATTGGCTCCTCTCTTCTGCGGCGTGCGGCGTCTAGCTCTGAACCGCGCAAGGAGCGGTTGGGTGTGCGGCGCCGCACGTCGTGACGTTGAAGCCGAAAACTGGTTTCCGCCGGCAACCGGCAGCGACGACCGTCGCGCCGCAGGCCTCCGAAACGCCAATGTGGTCGCGCCTTAACTTCAATGAAATCGTCCCTCTCCTGGCTTCACCTCTCTTTCCGAAGAAAAATATTGTTTATTTCACAAGAATTGTCACTTCAACTCAGCTTTCCACCAAGCATTGTTTTCTGAGCCATCGTACATATTATCCCGTGTAGACCATGACGTCAAGGTAGGGATTCTCCATTGCAGCGCACCTCCACATTTAATTCCTCTTTTCTACCCCAGACCTCCATCGATTGGAATCGCCTTTCCGTACATATAGTCTCAATAACTAACACTTCTGATTTTAAAATTGTTGTTACTAACATTTTAACAAATGTTGTGTAGTGCGTGTTTTTTTTTTCTTTTTTTCTTTGCCTTATTTAACGATGATATTTTTATGTGCTTTGAGTAACCACCCACTCCCCTCTGTAATGCCCTCGGACCCTGAGGGAATAATAAATGAAATGAAGTTAAATTAGTCTTACCACTGGTGCCGCGACTGTTGGTGTGGCTGCTGCCCCTTCCCGTTGTAGTTCTGGCACCAGGATTAAGGGGTTTTTCTTGGTTTGGTATTCCACGCAAGTAATGAACTCGTGCACCACCATGCAGTCGAGACAGGTGATCTTGTGGCACTTCGGACAGCAGAGCTGCTTGGCGTTGCCGTCCACGAAGGCTTGAAATTTGCAGCTGCCGGACTGGCAGGTAGCTAGCCGCTCGTCCGCTAGATCTTGTTCATCTGATGACTTTTGAGTTTGGTTTTCTTCACGCTCTGGACTTTCGGCCACGCTCACTGATAAATTCTTCAGACTGGCTTCGATCTGTTGAAGAAATAATGGGACGATGATTATTGTGGTACAAAATGTTAATGTGAATGTCACGTTAGAAAAGTGAAGAATATGGAGGAGAAACAAAAATACGAGAGTAGAAAAGACAAATAAGAAGGAACGGAGAAGGGGGGAAAGAAAAAGAAAGCCATTGAAGGACGACTGTGACGGAATTAATAAGTGTTTAATGCACAAATTTACACCGAGCCCTTTTTATTTAAGTCATCTGGGTCGGAAGATGGTGTGATGGGTTAGGGCAGTGAAAGTGGTTTAGATAAAGGGGTCGAGTCCTGCCGACTTGATGGGAGTCCAGGACGGAGTCAAGGATTTCCTTGCGGTGCTCCACTTCCCCAGGTGGAGTGATTCATTTCGACCTTGGTCTTCCGAGCACTGGGAATTTTGTTTAAATGCTCTTGCCCGTACCAATGTACCGGTGTTCCCTGAATATGGGGTATATGCACGCCAGTCGTGGCTTGACATTCATGACATTGATCGTCTGGTGGAGGCTCCGGTTTTTACTCTGTAAGTATTCTTTTTCTTGCCGCAGGAGTCGTGGCCGTGGCGATGCGGAGTATGCACCCAGACTCTGCTCCACCGGCCGTAAATTGGCGGCTGCGAGATATTGATCTCTGGGGATGAGGCTCTTTAGCATTTGCTTCCTCAACTTCTCTTGAGCCTTTGTGTCGATTGGGCCTATCTCGTTCAATTGAAGGGTGGTGGAACCCAGGACGGGGCTAGCGAGTATAAGTGAATGCGCTCGATAGCCGTTTGGTGCGCAACTACATTACCAGATATTTCTGAGCGTCTCGGGATCCATTGTATTGCGACTTCTTGGGATGCTTGTGCCCTTGCCATTTGGTGGATGCGGATGACAGTCTTGCTTAAGCTACTGCTCTTTCTGCACTCATCTACGCGTGTTCTGTGGAGTCTGTAAAACCCCCGTCGTTTTTATATTTAGGGTGTTCACGTGCGTCCTTGGTGCCAGCTTCGATAGCCATGAGTTCAATTTCTTTCACGCTGCATCCTTGGGGGCCAGTCTGCACTCGTTGCAGTTGCCTTTCGACTCGTAAAAAGGACTGGCGGCTTGGCGTGCTCCCTTGGATGCGTCCGTGTAATATATGACACTTTCGTCGTCCGCCAGTATAGTTTCAACTTCTTTGTTGTGTTTTCATGCTGCAGCGGTTGTTCTCACTGGGCGTTTGGGCCCCAGATTTCTCGGTATTGGTTCACTGATTGTGATCACCTCTCCTGTGGAGGAAGAATGATGCAGTCAGGTGCTCCTGGCTTTAGCTGGTATAGACAACTCATGTTTACAAACCGGAGCGCCCCTAACAGACTCCACCGGCGCCGCGCATGCGCGATGGAGTGTGGGCAAGAAGCTCGCCGTCGACCATAAACCATTGGAATCCGATGCTCTCGGTAGCGGTGTGAGTCCCCATGCTCTTTTACGCGTTCGAATTGTTGATTGATTCTTCATCTTCCTGGCAAAGTCTGACTACTTGAGCGGTCTCGGCGAAATTACATAAGCTCGGTACACCGCAAAACTTTGCGTGAATAATGTGGCATGCGGCTATTGTGCGTGGACGCCGTAGAATGAACGCTAAAGCCCGATTCGCATGGTGAGATTCCGCTCGCAATTTTCAGTCGCAAAGTCACTCGGGCTGCAAAAGCGTGAAACGTAACTGAGATGGTCGACGTCGATACTGAAAATCGCAAGCAGAATCGGACCAAGTGAATCAGGCATAACAAGTAGATGATGATCAATGGTAGCAATGATCAACATATCCTTGTATCTACTGTATACAACCAGCCTGCTTATCCCAGCGAAACTTCAAACTCGAGTCTTTTGAGGCCTGCGCTTACTTCTTATCGCAATTATCGGGAACGTCAAAGAACAGGTGGATGATCTCGATGTATTTTTGCAGCGGTAAAAGATCAGTCATACCCAGTCATAATGTTTGCATGTAGTTATTGCACTCGTCGCGATTGCTCAGGAATCTGCACTGCGCCACCAACAGCACTAACCAGTATCGCCCGTACGCACCGCTTCTCCGCTTGATGCTCGCAGCCAAGTTTGGTTTCTTCGTTCGGCTTTGGCCAGTTTCGCTCGGATACGGAATCGGCCAAAAATCGGTCTCCTCAAAAATCTTGCTCTGCCTTGAAGGTCAGATGTCATAGCGTTGTCTAGCGGACATTAGCATCATCCGCGTTTCTTCTTCGGGTGAATGACAGGCCTCGGTGAGGTTTCAGCAAAAGATTGCTCCAGAAGGAATGAGCTCGCGCAACCATTTTCGGAGGCGCGCCAGTTCTTCGGTCGCGTTCACGCGGGGCATCTGTTTCCCTAAACCTAGTTTCGCGATACAAGATTCACCAACAAGATGCATCGTGTGAATAGACCTTGAGTCGCTGGCATACTTGGACTTCATTTGAAACTCATTCAATCGGCTCATCCGAGCAATGGTGGATAGATTTTCAAGTATGGTCTTCCTGAGTAGTGCCGTGATGAACCTGAAAGCCTCTTTATTGAGATCTTCTATTTTCCTTTCTGGGCCTTAGTTGAACCAACCCCAACCAAGTTGCGCAAACTTGGTGGGCTCAACAACCGGCTCCGGTGTTGAGCCAGTGGAGAGAGGACTGTAGGATACGTTGTTGGGCTAGTAGGTTCATCTTAGTTAAACATATCAAATAGCGCAAAAAAGACAAGGACGCGACCCAGTCAACAAATAGTGGTATCTTCCAAGGCATCAAGAGTCAGCCGAACGGGACGTCACCAACCAACCGTAGAAATCTCATAAAGGCCTCGCCGAGAACTGTGAGTGAGAGATCCTGGAATTAAATTGCCCACATTAAAACGGACGTCTATGGTAAATCGCAACCTGTTCACCGATTGATTCATATTTTCTCTATATCGACACTCGAGGGCAGAGTCGCACAATTAAATTTGTCTAACATCATTACATAAATATTCAGTGAGTCAACAAGTCTAGTAAAAAATGTAGGCACCTCAAAACGAAATAAAAAGTCCCTGCATACCGTACCGAAAGTTTACAGCAGCTGCGGCTATTTAAAATGGTGAAGGGAAGACGGGAAAACTTTCATTGGGGTTGGCAATATACACTACATTTCTCGTATAGCTAGGATGAGGCGCGTATTGAAGTGGGTTGTGAGCCAGAATTGTTGAAAGGTTACTGTAATGGCGTAAAACTAAAGATCAATTTTAAGTGAAAGGATCGAATTATTTTGACCACTTCTGTTCGAAAGGCATTTCATGTATTTTGTTTGTCTGCAGTTCTAGGGTAGACTGCGCGTATAGAAGTGAAAAATCTTTCAGACCCGACAATGACACGAAAAGAGTCGCGACTGTCTTTATCATGAAGTATAATCTGAACCCTTAATTGCAAGCTAAACCTTAAAAATGCTACTGCACACAGGCAAACGAGGAGACTACTTTTGCTCCAAGAACTCTTCATGTTATTCCTCTTCGTTTACCCCAATTACCAACATTTATTACTAATAGGGTTTTGTTTTACATTTGAGTTCCATCGAGTTTATTTACTGTTAATAATATCGTGCTAGGCAGTCATGAAGAGTCACGCGTATTATCAAAAATTTGTTCGACTGTCTGCCCAACTTACGTCGCACTTTCGCTTCTTTTTTTTTCCTCTTGTCTTTCTTGTGTATTTTGGAAGAAAAAAAACAGGTAAGTAGTAATTACTAAACGCATGATGCAATGACGTCCCGTGCAATTCATGAGTACATGTGCGAAAAAAAAAACATTCCTTTTACCTGGCGTGTTACAGTGTCCCCTGGAACTGGTGCCGAAAGTTCGTTTTGGGCCACCGGAGGGTGCTCTTCGAAACTCTTGAAAGTGCGGCAGCTGATCCCCTCGTGAACCGCTTTACATGTGAAGCAGGTCACGTGACGGCATTCGGGGCAGACTCCATACTTGGACCCCAGCTTGGTCTTCACAAACTTCCCGCAACCCGTCCAGAGACACGTTCGCTCGATGAACGAAGACATACCTGGAAGGGTCACGAAACACTCTTTAGCCATAAAGCGAGAATATGCGTGTTCAAGATGCTTGGAACACAAAAAATCTGGCTGGGTCGTAATTCCACACGCGGCACAATTACGCAAGTCTATACGAGTTGTACAGAAACAAATTAATTTTATACGGCATTTTAAAGAATATACTACGAAAGAAGTCAGCACGTGCTGGGTGCGGAAATACGATCCCAATCTGTTCCAAATGTAGCCCTTAATTATAGGCATGTTTAGACAGAGAGAAGCTAATCAGCACTAATGGACCGATCTCACCACGCGTTTCAAGCGTGCGTGCCGCCATAATTGTATGGCTCACAAAAGGCAGGCGACAACGAACGCGTCAGCTCGTGCCATCTCGTGCTCTGCTCGTGCCGACCCACAGCGGGGTTGTCACGCGTGCAGAAAGATTACAGTTCCCACGATGCATGCCGGCATCGGCGGCGTAGCGAAACTGGTTGGTGAGATCGATCTATTGGCGTGGGGTACTACCTCTGAAGATGAGAAGTTTTGCCAGTGCAGTACCACTGCTGGCATAGTGTCTTGAACGCGCGTCAGGCACTAGCGATACACGACCGCACGCCGATACGATGATCATCCGAATTGAAATGAGCACGGTTGAGTATTGTCACCAGGATTCCCGTGTTCTGCAGCCCTTCGCTCCACGTGCTCCGAGCTGAGGTGCGTCAACACGCCATTATTCTCGAACGTAATAATAAATCCTTTGGAAGAGGGCTGAAATACAAAAAGACAGGCTGGAATTGTATTTCAACACGCAGTACGTGCTGACCTTTTCTTGACTGATACAAATTAAGCAAACACCTACGCGTCATAGAATCGGTCATTTTCGTTTATCCGATTGTTTTAAGGATTTACTACAAATCATGTCCGTGGTTGGGCGAGAAACTATAAAAAATCTGTATTTGCTACTTGTTCTTTCAAATATTTTCGCGTAATTATTTAATGCTTCGCATTCAGAGAACAAATTCTGCGTATGAAACATCATGGGAAGCTCACTAAGCGTTGAGCTGCATGAAAGAGCCTATCGTCTCCAGCGAAATATACAAAGTTTTGGGACAAACTTAATTGAGAATAGGGGGGCCAGTATTTGCTACACTGTAACACAGACCGGGAAAATTGGCGCCTGTACATAGAAAACTCCTTTCGACGAATGTGCATTTAGGTGGTCAAGTTTAACTTGTGAAATCTCAAAGCGCAGTAGTCTTCCTGTAAAAAGGATGAGACCAGCACATCTGCCAAAGCCAACGGTAGACGTATTCATAGAAGACGGAGTTAAGCAGTGGCCACATGAGCGATTAAAAAGGGCGCAGAGCGACAGTTTCCATGGCAACTTGCGCGAACGCTGAGAAGTGGACCTATGCCATGCCGCCACGTCACAGCGTTCTTGCAAGTTGCTATGAAAACTGCCGCGCGCTGCCGGTTTGTTTCCATCGCTGATAGGGAGTTTTCATAGACCGTTTTTCCTACTCTGCAACGAAGACGCTGCTAGTGCGCGTGCGCGCTGCTGGCTTTGACTGAACGGTACCAAATCTGGTAACGAGTTCCGGAGAACGTCGCGGGACGGAGAAACAATCTACGAAAACACCCAAATAGAGTTTTAATAGATCGTGCCGATGACACCGATAAAGATATCCCATAATCCGCCGCCGCCTTTGCGCATGCATCGTATCGTTATTGAGCATCCTTATGGGGGTAGCGGAACGAAATACTAAAACACTAATGTGGCCCCTGCTTTAACGATGAATGTTACTTGTGGCGCCATCTCCGCATAGGCGCAGCTAGCAGAAAACAGGGTACGTCGCCTGCTCGCTGCACCTATCGGGAGATGGCGCCACAAGTTTCAATAGTCGCTAACTCGGTCGTCTGCGAACAGGTCCATCGTTGACTTTGTCAAATTTGTTGGTCTCATTCTTTTACAGGAAAGAATGCCTTAAAATATTACAAGGTAAAATCCACCACCCAAATACAGAATCGGGGGAAGTTTGAGTTTGCAAAGTTCAATCGTTGATTTATCCGGTTTATTTTACAGCGTATAAAAAAACCGCGGCCACCCTATATAGAGGCTCCGTGCAACAGTGGCCGATTAGAAAAAGATCCCGGAAAACGAAAAGGCCGGTGCTATAAACTCTATGAAGGCAGCATCCCGAACAAAAGCGTCGGACGATCTAAGTCTCGCTCTGCATGGATTTTCTTTTTAATGCCAGAGAATGCTCATGTGACAAAAAACATTTATCTGACATGAAGCCGTCGTCTCATACGAAGGCGGACATTGGTTCATCTAACCGGCAAGGAGTTGCTAACTGTGACCAGTTTTATTATATTATCCGTTATATTAACGAAGGTACAATATTCAATACCGAGTCGAACCTATAGGAAGCGTATCGTCTTGCTTATTTCCATGCCCAACATAGCTTTTGCGTTGGGTCTTATAGACCACCTTTGCATTATCCTGAAATTTGGTCCACCAGAATTAAGAACCGCAATATTGCCAAAAACTGCAATAGGGTTGTACTTTTAGCACCTATCTAAACTGGAACTTTATGGTCGACATAAATCCTAAAGAACCTCAAGAAAAATTTAATATCCCGCAATCTTACCTATATCTGTATACTGCCACCTTGAAAAACCAACGTTATCATTGCCTTTGTAAATCAGTACTGCACAATTACTATTAAATACCAATTACGATAACGAAAGAGGGACATCGACTCTTCCGTTGTTCTCATTTAGACACCAACACGCTCCACCATCCATATTAAAGATCGTAGGCTAACAGTCGCCACTCATGGGTAGATTGCTTGTAGTTTCATAACAGTTGAATTACTTTCCTTCAAAAGTAGTTATTTATAATATAACATAACGCAAAAAGATATTTATTACAATATGAGCATTACCTTATTTTCCGGGCTATAGTTCGCAGACTATACATGTTTAAAAGTTGAAAATTTAGGCTGTGCGGACTATCGCGTGCGGAATATACAGAAATTTTATTTTTCAAGATCGTTCATTATGATGAGACGTGACGAATGTTTTGAATGAAAGAATATGTTATTAACGATTTATGTAATACGAGCTTCTTTGTGAGCTAAGAAAGCCACCATTTGTCAAGATGTGCATGTATGAGAAGATGTTTTGTGTCGGCTAAGCATAAGGGGCGGACTACGCACGATGTGCCGACTGCATCGGGTGCAAACTATCTAGCAAAAACCTTTTCTTTCTTTTTTATTTTTTTATTTTTGCCTAAATTGTTTTTTCTGGGCTATAACCCGAAAAATACGGTACTTCTCTTTGAGGGCTTTTTGACTAAAACAATTCCTACGCGATTAGTATTTTTTCTGCACAGTGATGTTAATCTTGTCCTACCGTTGAGAATTCGCTTCACAGCGTTTTACATTCGTCACTACGGGTATTTTTTCACCTTCATCTATGGTATCAGAAGACAGGCGAGTTCAGAGCATAATACAAGGCTTTTTTCTTTTTTTATCTGAAGCACCATCATGGTTGTCGATGTTCTGTTTATCATAGCTGTTTAAAATAAAACAGTTCCATAAAAGCTAGAAACTTCAGTTCTTGAAATGACCAACAGCAGTCCCGATAGCATAGTCAATGTACACATCAATATCAATTTTTTTTTTCTCTCTCTCCCTGACAACGAAAGACAGCCTCGCTTTTAAGTAGGGCATTGTTTGAACCCCTCCGCGGGTGCTGTGGCCTTGACAGTTGCTCAACTATGCGTCCACGGTTAACACCCTGAAGCAGTCTTGGCGCTTTCAAGGCCCCGCGAGCTGGCAGACGGGAGTCGAGGCAGAGACTCAGTGTAGTTTTGTCGGTCAATGACTCCACAGGACGCATTATGACCTAAACCTTTCAATTACTGAGGATTAAAAGTAACTAAATTTCAGCTGGGATTACTTTTAGTCGTGTAAAAGAATGACATCTACAACTGTTTCGCAATGTAACTAAATTACAGAAATGCCATTGTTGTTATCGACTTCTACGATGACTCCGACAGCACTGACAAAATTGCCCATCAATACAACGGAAACAGTGGCTGCCATTTGTAGCCACGCCTTCTTCCAGCAGTAGAAAACACCCACAAAACAAATTTTATTTCGCTTTTAAGCGCTGGTCTGAAAAACATCTATACTAACGCAATTTCTATGACAATTGATAAATGTTCAATGTCATTAATGTCAACAGGAAAAGATTCTTCCAGTGAAAGCTGACTCGCAAGCTGAGTAGTCGTGTATCCTTTAATAGAGCAAAAACATCTACATTGATAAATCATCGGCGTGGCAACCGTCGTGATCGTATTATCTGACATCTCTCTAGGCTCTTCTGGCGATGCCGTAATCAGAATCCGAAACTTTGTAACTGTGCCAAACAAATCAGTATTTTCCGCCGAAAGGAGCGTTAAGGTTAATTTACTAGTTCCTTATATTTATTCGAATGCTGCCTGACTGTTTACTGAAAACTGGTGTACAAAACTGTTTTTCTAGATTCGGGAGGGGTTTTGATTCGGGGGGGGGGGGGGGGGGGGGGGGGGGGTCGCAGTTATCGACAAAATGCTTTATGAGGGGGAAGGGAGGCCCCAGCACAATGGAAGGTTTCGGCAAGGGGGGGGGGCCTCATGCCCCCCCTCCCCTGGCTACGTGACTGGCCCCTGCTTGGCGCTGGGGATACTGAACGGCCACAGCTGTAGTGTTCTAGCAAAAAGTGGTCGCAATTGTTAAGCCCTACGGCACTATCGAGCGGTTTGCCTTACCGCTTAGCGTAACCATGCATGCCGAATGAAAACATTCGGCATGCATGGTTACGCTAAGCATGCCAAATGAAAACATTCGGCATGCAGTAATCTACTGGCGATCGAGCAACCTGGTCATGATGGCAGGTTGGGTGCGGAATTTTCGCTTCAGCCATGCGTTGCACCTACAGTCACCGGCAGGATGAGAACGGCAGTGAGGTTCTTCAGTTGTTCCAGCGCGAGCTGCCAACCTTCGATAATCCTTCGGCGTCTCGTGAGCCTCAAGCGTGCACGCGCAGGCAAAGCACGGCGGAGAGCCAGCAAGCGCGTACCGGAGGTTGGGCATCCAAAAGAGGCGTCGTGCCCTTCTCATTCTGCCACTGACAAGAACGACAGTTTAGAAGAAATGTTATCCACAGTCAGCTCGCGTCGGACTGCGTTCCTAAACGAACATCACCAAGTCACGGTAAACCGACGAGGCTGTCGATACTCGTTTACTTCCTGCTTGGACATGCAGGGAAAGTTCTGCTAAGTAGAGAACAGTAAACGCATAAAATGAATAGGACGTATATCTGCAACCCATAAAACTGGGAAGTCTGCGGTCTAAAAGTGTTACAGATTCAAAACGCTTTGTTATAACTCAACGTTTATATTACCCCCTGCGTGTTAATGAAAGAAAATCAAAACCGTTAGGTTCCTGAGGCAGCTTTTTTTTATGTTAACGTAACGCTTAGACGTTTTATCATTGATTTATTAATTGCCATTGACAAAAAACTCCGCAAACTCAAGCTTACTATATCCTAACGAACACATTTATGCGACGCATTGCGAGCTTCGGCGCAACGTTGGCAGGCACCTATCTACTTGAGGGGAATAATGTCAGGCAAGAGCAAAACCTGCTTACCTTTATGTAGCTTCTAGGTGTCCATTCACACCCACTGTCACGGAGCATACAATCTACATTTCAGTCGTTCACGTGCGCCGTTATTTCATCTAGACGACGCTTATGAGGCTTAGGCGTAGGTATTTCGCATTCGCGTTCCGGAAAGCTCAGATAACCCAAGACTGGCAAGCACGGCGTACTGAGTGTTATCAGTTGGGACCGTATACCAAGTTTGTCGCACGACGCATTCGCGGCGCTTATCACATGGGGCGGTGGGGCGTCAAAAGCAGTTGCCATAACAACTGGGTGACGCTTGACGGGTAGCGCCATCTCATGCGAAACTATCGCACCTTTGATGCGCGCCACGGGTTGCCCGCGGCCGCAACGACGCGGCCGACAACAACATCACGCACACAACGGGGCCCTAATCTGAACCCTTGGAGAAAACGTCGGCGAGAAATCCGGCAGCTATGATTTACCGGCGCCAGTGTCAGGTTGGCCAATTACGATTGGCCAACCTGACAAAAGCAGGCGATTTCTCGCCTGCTTTTTGGCCAAGTTTCCAGGTTAGGGCCTGAGCACAGCCAACTCGTGCCGAGGTGGGACGACCCAAGCAAGTCGCTCACCAGCTATCTACCTGGACGCGGACTTCCAGTCGCTCCCGGCAACGTCTTGTTCCGCAGCAATGCAGATCCCGAAGCTGGGCGTGGCCCTAACCGAGGCGTTTGCGTTCGTCACGCCGGTCATGGGAGGCGAACTTGGGGCCGTACAGCTTTACGTACAGTCTTGGAGAACCAAGCTATCGGGCTAAACTAGGTGTCTCCGAATTATCTCGGACTCTATACCACAGCTCTCACCGAGTGCTGCGGAAGAAAAAGCCTGAGCAGGCGAGTTAAGGGCCACCCACACTAGCGAGAAAACGCGCCCGGCGCGCCGATAAATCGGTTAAGCGGGAAGATAAAGGGCGTGTCTCTGCACGCGCTCGTGGCGCTGACTGTGCTTCGGCGACATTTTGTTACTTGCCGCGATCGGCGTGCCACGCGCGTTTTCTCGCTAGTGTGGGCGGCCCTTTAGGGTCATCAAAAAGAAGACATCGAAGATACGTGCCACTCGCACCGAAGTCAAACATTACGAAAGTGGACTTTTAACAAGCTCGCAATCGTTCACAGTTTTAGATGAGTGGATATGCCAATCAATCAATCAATCAGCGTTTATTTCAGCTTGAAATACAAACTGAGGGTGGCAAGAAAAAAGCAGTGTCGTCCACTGCTTGACGGGCCTCGCCACCCTTACAAGTCAGCAGTGTAAACGCGGTAAAAAATAATATATATATACAAAATGAACAATACAGACAAAAATGAGAAGTACAGACAAATTATAGAAAAGCGTTCCTAAGGACAGAAGAAGACATACCATTCAAGTGATCACATAGAGGAGTATTCAAAAATTTAGGCAAGATATATCGCAACATTGTAAAGCCATAGTTCGTTCTACATCTAGGTAAAACAAAGCTGTCTTTTTCCCTGGTTGCATAAGGCGTATTGTGGGGCACAGTAGAAACAATACGTGAAAGAAAATTATCGTTTTTAGCTATACTATTTTTGTAAAAACACGCGAATCTATATTCAAATAAATTATATACAGGCACAATTTTAAACTGCGAGTAAGCCTGCCCGGTTGGGGAATTATATGGAGCTTTTGTAATAGCACGTAGCATTTTCTTTTGCAAGATCAGAAGCTTCTGAATATTGGATGTTGTGGTATTACCCCAGACAAGAAAACAATAGCTTAAATATGAATAAAAGAAAGCGTAATACAAAGTAAGTTTAGTTTTTTCAGGTAGAACGTACTTATTACGCGAGGTTATTCCTACAACCTTAGAAAGGGCAAGACAAACCTCGTTTATGTGGGCGTCCCATTTCATCGTTGCGGTAAAACTTACACCGAGGGATCTAAACGTTTCTACATACTCGATAATGGTGTCACTCAAAACTAAAGGCGGTGGGTGCATTACAAGCTTTCCTTTAGGACGAAATATTACAGCTTTAGTTTTTTCTTTGTTGATTTTCAATGAGTTGACTAATGACCACCGTGATAATAATGCCAATACTCGGTTAGCAGTGCCAGTTAGTTGTTCAACGTCAGAGGAGGAAAAGAAAAGGCTCGTATCATCAGCGTAAATAACGTACTTTGCAAGGGTACTAATATTGGAAATGTCATTTATATATATATTAAACAAGAGTGGTCCAAGGATGCTACCCTGAGGGACACCATTAAAAATTTGAAGGGAATCGGAGCGAGAGTGGTTTATTACAACATATTGTAATCGTGAGCTTAAATATGATTTTATAAGGTTGAGGGCGTGTCCTCGTACGCCGTAATGCTCGAGCTTAGCGATAAGTATTTTATGATTTACAGTATCGAATGCCTTACTAAAGTCAATAAAAATGCCAAGAGTAAGACGTTGTGATTCAAAATTGTTCAAAATATATTCTTTTTGGGCAAGCAAGGCGTGTTCCGTTGATCTATTTTTAGTAAACCCATATTGGCAATCGGATATTACAGAATGCTTTAAGAAGAAATGATTGAGGCGGCGATGAATTATTCGTTCTAACCCTTTAGAAAAAAACGGAAGTATAGATATTGGTCTATAGTTACCGAAGTCGTTCTTATTTCCTTTTTTATAAATTACGGCTACTCTGGCTAGCTGCATAGCTGTTGGAAAGTGTCCCGTCATAAGCGCTACATTATAAATATGTGTTAGACATGGTGTAATTATTTGTAAAACATATTTTACTGGGCGACTTTGTATATTATGAGAGTCGAGGCTATTCGTATCTTTCAGACTTTTGAAAATTGAAAAAACCTCAAGCTCGTCAGTCGGTTCAAAAAATATTGATTCTGTTAACCTATCACTTAGAAAATCAAAAATGCCGGAATTATAGTGACTGTCACCTACAGTCGAAAAAAAGTAATTGAATGATGCAGCGAGATCACATAAATAACCTCTCAATTTGAAGGAAAAAAAAGTATTTTAAGCATTCGTATGATCAATGTGATATTTGCACCTGGTGACGAAAAAAAAGACGCAAAGATTCCTGTTGCTTTTCTAATTCTAAAAACTGGCGCTTTCATAAAAAAAAAAAAAAGAACGCCCTGAGTTTTTAGGTTTATATGCTGCAGACTACATCAACATACAACGACGTCTTTTGCGTGAATTGGCATATTTCGTTGATTAAACTGAGACGAACCACGGTTCCACATCCGGCCCTCGGTGGTAGCAGAACGATCCCGCCTTGCTTCGTTGTCCCTAGCCGAAGCCGCCTCGGTGGCTCCGAGGCGAGAGCGTCGGCCTCCGGATCCCCATGTGGCGGGTTCGAATCCCGGCCGAGGTGCCTACAATCTGACGGAGGCTTATTGCGGAGAAGGCGCCGTGTAACCGAGCTTTCGGTTGCACGTCAAAAGATCCCCAGGTGGTCGAAATTAATCCTCAGTCCTCCGCTGGGGCGTGCCAGATGCCCGTCGTTGGTTTGGCACGTAAAACCCCCAAATTTGACTTTGCCCCTAGCCGAAGGTCGCCCTTTCTCCTTTCCGGTGTACCGTTGTCAGTTGACATGACGAACACGCCAAGCCTCAGTGCGCTGCCACTTCTCTTCGGCGATGCCCTCTTCAGTCGCATGTCCTTTCCTCGCGAGGCTTTGTAAAGACGACTGGGGCACTTCCAGCTAGAGTCCGACTTCTATCCGTCCGTAGTCCGATGACGCGCACGAGCAGCGACCCACGACCCGCGCATTCGCGCGGCGGAGCAGAGGAGAGGAAGTATATAAAGGAAATCAGACGCGGACAAACAACTCCGCGTTATCCCATTAAACAAAAAACAAAAAAAATCTTACAGAAATTGGCATGGAAACACGCCAGTGCTCGAACCACCTAGCTCTCCAAACGCCCATTTTATAGTCCAAAAAAAATTCAGATCGTCCTCAGTTCCATCCGCCGTCAACGCAAACGGATCTATAGCAACAAATTAGCTCACCCTGTACCCCGAGAAAGGCCCAGTTGACAGCAACTTAAGTGACCGCTGCCCAAATAGCTAAGTATTCCGTCGAAAGGCGTCGCTCGAAGGGCCGCCTTTGAACCCCAATGCCGGGCGTTATTTTTTTTATTTTTTTTCTTTAACAAGCGATTTTTTTAGCGTGAGCCACGGACGCCGTTGACGAACGCCTATCGGCTCACTCCTGACCGACAAAAGAGTGTTCGCCTTCCCCTCCCGTGCGGCGCCCGGAAGAAGAGGCCATAAATCATTATCTGCCTCAATCCGACGGAGCATCATCCTTTGTAGACCGTCCCTTCTCCGACGCCGCTTTTGGGAAGAAGAGTTTGCGCCGCTGGGCAACTCTTGGAGCGTCTCCAACATTTCGGATTGGGCCGCCCGGCCGCCGTGCGCGAGACACTTGGGCGCCCCCCACGCAAAGTGTGGCTCGTTGAATCCACGAGTTCGTACACGCGCGCAAACACGCACTCCTCACACACGCACGGACCAAAACATTCAGTCTCAGCTTTGCTTTTGCTTTTCCTTTTTTTTCTCTCCCGCTCGCTGACGAGCAAAGACAATCTCTCGCTCATAAACACGCACGCACGAGTGCACGCGCACTAAGAAAGTCGCCCAGAGAGACCTGCGTATCTGATATAAGAAAAACCAAGTACAGACGTCGCGCCCAATCGACGATGCATCGCTCCCTTTTGTTGGAGTTCCGCTTTGCAGCAGTGCAGTCGTGCACGCCTGTGACGCGGAGAAACCCTCCACCTCGCGCGCCGTTGTTTGACATCTTTTACTTTTTTCCCTCTATATATATATATTTTTTTTTTTCCTGTCCGGTTCGAGGAAGCATGAAATCCTACTTTCAGCGTTTCTATCAGAAGTTGTTCGGTCGTCATTCTAGGCCGTCGCTTTGACAAATCGTAAACGTGGATTTTACTATAATGTGAGATAAGGCAATTTCGTGTAACAAACATCTCGACAGAAAAAAAAAATTAAAGACGCAAGACGAAAATGGATAAAACGTAATGAAGAAATGTCTAAAAAGGTAAAGAAATTCAAATTGCTTTAATCCGCTTCCATAACTTCATGGAGCCAAAACAGTTGTTCGTTCGGAATTCGTTTCTATTGGCGTAACAAATGAATGTGACAGACACGAATGGTACAAATCTTGTTATATAAAAATATGAGCGCATCC